GTGCCTTGAATGCTTTTTGATTATAGTTGACTTTTAGCAGAGTGATTGTTGCAGTGTTAGTGGCATCTCATCAATTACATCTGTTAATTCTCTCTTTTGAGTGTGGCACTTTTTCTGTTGCCTTTGCTTCGGAAATCATAGTCTTTGCAGGTTGGTGTCTCATGCAATTCTGCAGTTGTCCTAGGCATGTGACTGCCGCTCTTAATTAGGTAACCCTGGAAATTGTTTCTTAAACTGATACTGTAACAGATTTATAAAAGCAGGCATTTTTTATGTTTGCAGTTCAGAGTCAAGTCTGCTATGTAAAGTAGACATTTTGCATGTGATTTTCTTGATACCAATTGCTTTGTTAATAATCAAAGTAAAATTATTTGGGTCAAAGAGAAAAGAATTTTGGACTGTCTTCTTTGTATTGATGTTAAGATTTTATGTATTCACGGTCCTCCCGTTGTTCATCGATTTGCTTGAGTGGGCCCAGTAACATTGTGAGACTTGTTACTGTATTTGGCTATCGAATATGCCACGGGTAGCTTGCCAGGCTCTGCCGCTTGGGGGAGATACTCTCGGTAGCTTGCTGGGCTCTCCGAGAGGGGCGGAGGAATCGAACTCGGGTCGGCCATGTTGGCTGTATGCAAGGCAAATGCCCTACCTGCTGTGCTATCGCTCCAGCCCAGGATTTTATGTATTCTTTAATGAAAAGGTGATTGGTTGTGTTGGGAAACTAACCATCAATAAAAATTGTTTTACAGAGCTGGAGAGATGATAGTGTGGCAGGTCAGGCACTTGCCTTGAATGTGGCCCACCTGGGTTTGATCCCTGGCTTCTGTCTAGTTCACCAGAAGTGATCCCAGAGCGCACAGCCAGGAGTAAGCCCTGGGCACAGCCAGATGTGGCTCAGTCCCTTTCCCAAGTTATTCTGCTATGGAGATAGTAAAATCATTTTTGCTATTTTTTAGAATTTTTTTTTATTGAATCACTGGGAGATACAGTTACTAGTTTTTACTATTGATTTACAGTTGGTGATATAACATGATAGTGTTTTATTCTCTCTGGTGTACTGTTTATGATTTTTACTTATTTATGATTTGATGCATGGTAAGGCTCAGCCACACCTGGTGGTGCTCACAGGCTGTTCCTGCTCCTGCTCAGGACGGCCTCTAGTGGCACTTGGGGAACACAAGTCTTCCCTGGGACAGAACTGGGGTTGGCTTATGTAACACAAGCACCTAGTCTCATGTACTGTCCCTCCAGCTCAATTTATGTCCTTTTAAGACGTTTGAAAGTTATATTGAATGACTGTAAGATTAAGATGTAGTAAAAAGACAGAAAATACTCACTTTAGTTCAACTGTTACCTTCAGGTATGATAGAAAAAATTAAATTTTGAGAAAATTTTTGAATGTGAAAACCTGTCATCTCATTTAAGGGATTTAATTATGAGTAACTAATTTTATATTCAGAAATGTTTTAACAACGTGAATTCTCAGGAGTCAGACTTTGATTAATTAATACCCATAGCAAAAACTAGTAAATATCAAGGAGTAACAACTCCCACTCCACCCAAAAAAAATAAATAAATAAAATAAAATAACCCAACCCAGTAATATGGCAGTAATGGTACCTCATACAAAAATATGAGGATGCTAAGGAAACCCATATAAACTTTGTTGGAAAAATTATAAAAAGCAAGTAAAAATTAATGGAGTAAAATTGTAAAAAATATAAATAAAACAAAAGTGGAGTATTGGTAATAGCAAGCAGTTGTGACTATGAAAAAGTTTTGGATGATTCAAATGGCAGTGCTTGGGGAAATAATACATAGTTTTGCCAAGATAATATCTACTGTATTCAAATAGGTAACAGATCAAGTCATACAAATAATATTAAAATACATCGTCAGTGGTTGTTAATTTCACAATGGTATAACAAGTGGCTTAGCAACATTTATTTTTTTAAAATTTTTATTAGTGGCACTCCATTAGGTACAGTTGTAGACTTACAAATTTTTGTGCTTGGGTTTCAATTATACAATGTTTGAGTACCCATCCCTCCACCAGTGCCCATTTCCCACCACCACGGATCCCAGTATCCCTCCCCTCCACCCCCTTCCCCACCCCCCCATCCTACCCTGCTTCTGTGGCAGGGCATTTCCTTTTGTTCTCTCTCTCTCCTTTTGGGTGCTGTGGTTTGCAAAAGAGGCATTGAGTGGCAATCATGTTCGGTCTATAGTCTACTTTCAGCATGTATCTCCCATCCTGGGAGGATCCTCCCAACACCCTTTATTTGGTGCTCCCTTCTCTATCTGAGCTGCCTTTTCTCCTAGCATGTGTGGCTGGCTTCCAAGCCATGGAGTGAACCTCCTGGTACTTATCTCGGCTATTCTTTGGTGTTAGTTTCCTATTTTGTTACTTTATGTTCCCCACATGAATGCAGTCTTTCTATGTCTGTCCCTCTCTTTCTGACTCATTTCGCTTAGCATAATACTTTCCATGTAGTACCACCTGTATGTAAATTTCATGACTTCATCTTTTCTAACAGCTACATAGAACTCCATTGTGTAGATGTACCAAAATTTTTTAACCAGTCATCTGTTCTCGGACACTCAGGTTTTTTTCCAGATTTTGGCTATTGTAAACAGTGCTGCAATGAACAAACAAGTGCAGATGTCACTTCGACTATACTTTTTTGCCTCTCTGGGATATATTCCCAGGAGTGGTATTGCTGGGTCAAATGGGAGCTCAATTTCTAATTTTTTTTTTAATGTAGGAGTATCAGTTTCTAATTTTTTTGCGAATCATCCATACTGTTTTCCAAAAGGGCTGAACCAGTCGGCATTCCCACCACAGTGGAGGAGGGTCCCTTTCTCACTAGATCTGCGCCAACACTGGTTGCTTTTGTTCTTTTGGATGTGGCCAGTCTCTGTGGTGTGAGATGATATCTCATTGTTGTTTTGATCTGCATCTCCCTGATGATTAATGATGTAGAGCATTTTCTCATGTGCCTTTTTGCCATTCGGATTTCTTCTTTGAGGAAGTTTCTATTCATTTCGTCACCCCATTTTTGGATGGGGTTGGATGTTTTCTTCTTGTGGAGTTCCACCAGTACCTTGTATATCCTTGATATCAACCCCTTGTCGGATGTGTATTGGGCGAATATCCTTTCCCATTCTGTAGACTGTCTTTGTATTTTGGTCACTGTTTCTTTTGAGGTGCAGAAGCTTCTTAGTTTAAGATAGTCCCATTTATCTATCTCTGTTTTCACTTGCTTGGCCAATGGTGTGACATCTTTGAAGATACCATTAGCTTCAATGTCATGGAGGGTTTTGCCAACTTTGTCTTCAATGTACCTTATGGATTCTGGTCTGATGTTGAGGTCTTTAATCCATTTTGATCTTACTTTTGTACATTGTGTTAGGCAGAGATCTGAGCCCATATTTTTTGCATGTAGCCATCCAGTTTTGCCAGCACAGTTTGTTAAAGAGGCTTTCTTTGCTCCACTTCACATTTCTTGCTCCCTTGTCAAAGATTAGATGATCATGTGTTTGGGGGAACATTTATATTTTTAAATTACTATAAAAACATAAACATCAGTGTCTCTTATTTGACTGTAGATTACTAATTATCTTTGTTTAACAAACACTCCAGAGTTTAGTGGCTTAAGGTCACTGTCTATGAACAAGATTTGTTGCTCAGAATAGAGCACTAACCTTGCATGTGTGAAGTTTTGTGGTGCATTCCCCAAATGGGGTCTTGAGGGAGAAAGGAATCAAATTTTACTCTGATTCACTTCATTTTTAACACACATAAAATCTATGAAGTTATCTATGTTCTTCTTGATATTTGAAATTTGTATCCTTTTACCCTCGTAATTACTTTGACTGCATGTTTACTAGGTGTATAGAACTTTGGGGTGCCTTGATTTTTTTTTCTGTTGTTCATGATTTTGTTTTCTTTTTAGTTGGCTTCCATGCTGATTTTTATTCTTTCTCTCTTCTTATAAGTTTGGGCTTAGTGATTTGTGTTTTGCAACAGACAAAAACAATTTGTCCCTCTGTAAATAAATTCACAGATTTTGAAGTTATCTAGAATGTGTACATGTCTATGCTGTATGTGTGTATGTTTGCATATTTAGGAGAGAATATAACTTCTTTGATGGCAGTATTTCAGAGAATGGCTTTTTAAAAATATTTTGACAGAAGTTTTCTTTTGTTTCATTTTGTATTGTTAGTAAAATAGTTTTATTTAGGTAAATGAGGAAAAAAAGAAGAGAGAATGAATGAAAAGAGAAAGAATGGGCTTTGGAGCCAGAGTAACTGAGAGTACATCTCATGTTGAGATGTGGAGGAATTTCTGAGATAGAGAATGAATCGCTTTTCTCTCTGATTATTGATTTTTTTCTGAAAGTTTATCTGATCTGCATTTCAGACTGTATTTGTAAATGGAAATATTTCGAATTCCTATGACAAACCCTGAAAACTTTATCATACATGTAGCTATTGATTAGATATGTGGCATTATTTACGTGGGGCAAAATATTGTTGTAAGCGATATTTTTCCCCTTTCTCTAATGTTACTAATCATCTAACCCAAAGATTTGGATTCAGAATGTGAAACATTTAAATCCCCAGATCTTTGCAAATGACCAGCCTCTTCCTAAGTGTGTCTTGCTGTCTCGGAATAAGAAACTTAATGGGTCGAGAGGAATTTGTTAGTCTTTTAGTTTGTCTTTTTAAAACATGAGTCAAGGAAATAAGTCAGCTTTCTGTTGAACTCTATAAAAATTAAGGCAAATTTGTTTTCTTTATAAAGGAGAGTTAATGTAGTTTTTAGAAAGATGAGTTTCAAGTAAGTTTCTGTTTTCTAAAATGTATTTTTATGTGATCTTTAATAATAAATAGGTGTAAATTTTGAATTGAACCATTGGTGGGATATGCTATTTGTAGAACTACTTGAAAATATTTCTTTGTTTGCCTATATAATTGTTATATTTATTTATTTTTAGATCCTATTTGACCAAACTCAGAGATCAATTAAGGCACAACTTCAGAACTTTGTTAAAGAGTAAGTCAGCTCTTGTAAAGAGAAATGGAAAATAGTTAATGATCACATCTGGGTGTTGGCACCTTTCTCTGTACTGTCAATTACGGAAGTTGTTGGCATTTCTGTTTGTTTTGCTTTATATAATGTAGATTATACCTTTTTATGAGTTACTCTTTAATGCCTTTGATTTTTACTATGAAACAAGTGTCCGGAATACACACCTAAAATTGTTACAGAGTTAAACATTAATGTAAATAAATGATCTGTCTTGCCTGCAGCAGACTCTGTTTAATCTGTGGTACCACATATAGTCCCTGAGCACTGCTCAGAGTGATCTGAGCCCAGCCATTGCCCCTGAGACCTGTTGGGTGTGACCCCCAAATAAAGAACTTAAGTAAACTTAAAAATAAAAATAAAGTCGATCCAAAAGTGGTGGAAATACTGTTATTAGAGTTGTGACCAAGCTAAGCTTTTTGTAGTTTCCGTATGTCATTTACTTGAAAGAGAAGATAATGGAATATAAATGGAAATATAATGGAAAAGGCATGATGGAGGTGCATGGTTTTTGCTGTATATGAGCTTTTTGTTTCTTACTCATCACACCATGTATGAAGTAAAATGAAACAATAGCTGAACTTTCAGACAGGAAGGTTTTCCATTTCTACATTAAATAATTATTTTTTTCTTAAATTTGGAGAGACTATATAAAAGTACAGATAAAATGGATTATGACATAGTATTCAGAATTACACTCATGAGCTATAAATACTGTTAGATCTCATGAACACAATGGTGCTATTGTTTTAGTTGATATAAATTTGCTGTACCACTGATGCTTTGCATATTCTTTATAAATTACTCTAAAATAGACTAGCATCCAGAACGCCGTTTTATAATGTATGCATAAAAATTTACAGCTTTTGAAAACAAAGTTTAGTTCTTTTTTAGCTGACTTTTTTATTTTTAAGTTATTGTATTCACGTTATTTTGCTTAGTTCCCTGAACAGGAAAAGTAAAATTTTGAAAAATGTCATGTGTCTTACTAAGTTCAGTAATATATCAAGGGTTTCAGATTTTCCGACTATTAAAATGAGTATCATTTTTTTTTTTTTTTTTGCTTTTTGGGTCACAGCTGTCATTTCACAGGGGTTACTCCTGGCTCATGCACTCAGGAATTACTCCTGGCAGTGCTCAGGGCACCACATGGGATGCTGGGAATCGAACCCAGGTCGGCCGCGAATGCCCTACCCACTGTGCTATCACTCCAGCCCCTAAAATGAGTATCTTTTACTAGTATAACAATTCTTTTTTCAGTTAATCAATTAAAGTTATAAAAGTATTTATTTATTTTTTGGACTTTTTTTGGGTCACACCCAGTGATGCTCAGGGGTTACTCCGGGCTTTGCACTCAGGAATTACTCCTGGTGGTGCTGGAGGACCTGGGATGCCAGAGATTGAACCCATGTCAGCTGCGTGCAAGGCAAAGGCCCTACCTGCTGTACTATGGCTCCGGGCCCAACTAGTACAACAATTCTTACAAACCGGGAGAGAAGGGTTTAGGTCACATCTGGGGCTACTCCTGGGTTGGTCCCTGTGGGACCATGTGGTGCAGGGAATGAACCTGGGCCTCCTGCATGCGAAGCATTTGCTCAGCTCTTGGAGACTTCGTGCTGGTCTGCAGTCCTTCTAGAATGTTCCACGGGTGCACATGTGCGCAGGAGCACGCACGTGTGTGTCTGTGTGTGTTTTAAGAAATTAATTATGCCCTTGCTCATTCAGAAATTCCCTTCATTAAGGATTGAATGTTTCTTAAAATGTCACCAGGGTGAGTCTTTAAAAATCCTTCAAGGTTTCTAGACTGTATTGCAAGATTTAATAAGTCATCATCTCTGAAAGAGGAACCTTGGAATCTGCCTTCATTTATTTGTTTTTGTAGTATTGGGGGTTTGATTGGGGCCCAGCACATGCAAAACACATGCTCCATCACTGAACTCCCGCTCCAGCCCAAACATTGCATTTTTAACAAGTTTCTTGTGGGGGTTCTTTTTGTATGTTATGGTGGGAATCACTTGGCTACATATGCACCGTCCTTAAATTTGTCTTCAGAAAAGTAAACCCACTTTGTTCCTTACTTTTCTTTAACAGTATGTATTATGTTATACATCGATTTGCTCGAGCGGGCCCAGTAACGTCTCCATCATGAGACTTGTTGTTACTGTGTTTGGCATATCAAATACGTATACATAATAGAGTATTAATCTATATTACATATATTATATGGTCTTAACAATATATATTACATAGTTAATGTTTTTAATATTTGGTCATTTCTTTTTACCTTAAATTTCATAGATTTACGTAAGAAAATGTTAACGGACTATATTGGAGATAGCGTATAATTGACAAGGATGCATATTTAAATTGAAGAGCAATTGAATGCCAAATGCATGGTGACTCCAATGAGGAGACTAACATGAGAATTAAACCCAAGAGATCATTTTGATAGTGTTTTGTTTAGAAAGTTTTTTTTGGTAAGTTTCGCTCCTTTCATTTTTTTAGAGATCTTAGAAAATTCAAAGATGCCAAGAAGCAATTTGAAAAAGTCAGCGAAGAAAAAGAAAACGCCTTAGTGAAAAACGCTCAGGTGCAAAGAAACAAACAGCATGAAGTGGAAGAAGCGACCAACATTCTGACAGCAACAAGAAAATGTTTTCGACACATAGCCCTTGACTATGTCCTCCAGGTAGACTCACCTGTTTTAAAAGCTGCTTATGCACGCATGATTACACTGAAAAGCTACTTTGTACTTAACATTAAAGCATGGTCTTTTGAGAAAAGCTTCTCACTTGTCTGTATGGCTATGTATACATCTGAGGGTGTATGACTCAGATTTCTGATTTCCCCTTTTCATTTAAAATTTGACTTCCCTCCATTTCTAAATGTTCTAAAAAGCATTTTTAATCATTATATTTTATTCTGTGGAGTTGCTATACCAACTACCAGACATTTATAGAATTTCCAGTTTTGGTTCGCAATTAGTGAGAACATGATTTTTTTAAAAAATTACAAATAATAACATGCTCATATATGAATTTTTGGCCACATTTCTGATTGAGTCCTTAGAACAGATTCTTAGAGATACTTGCCAAATGAAAATTATTTCTAGAAATAGTGTTCTCATCTGTACATTTCAAGCTTACTAGAGATTTGTATTTAGTAGATTGCTTGGCATCTTCTGGTTCAGTGTAGAATTATAACTCACTGGAAAGTAATAGGTCTCTTTTTTTTTTTTTTTTTTTTTTTTGCTTTTTGGGTCACACCCAGCGATTCTCAGGCGTTACTCCTGGCTCTACACTCAGAAATTACTCCTGGCGGTGCTTGGGGCACCATATGGGATGCTGGGGATTGAACTCAGGTCGGCCGAGTGCAAGGCAAATGCCTTACCCACTGTACTCCGGCCCACGTACTGGGTCTCTAAAGGAATTCCAGAGGCATGAAACATGATGGCTTGCTTTGTCCATTGTTCCACTTATGCATTGTATTCCCACGATATCAGTGTTTCCCAAAGTTTGTGATACTTTGGGTTGGCTCTGGAATGATACCAGAGGGCAGTAGATGCCTTAGATGCAGATTAGAGGTCTATGTCAACTGTCTGTTTATTAAAGAATGTTAAAGAATGTAGAGTTCCTACTCAGAGTGTGCTGAGTAGTGTGTGTGTGTGTGTGCGTGTGTGTGTGTGTGTGTGTGTGTGTGTGTAAGAGTCTGTAGACCAACGAGTTTGGAGACCTCTACTATAGTATGGAGTTTAAAGCCGAAAAGTCTTAGAGCAGAGGGAATTAACTTGCTCCAATCTCATTTATTTCAAAAAGCAGTAGAATCCTGATAGATTATTGATTTAACAATAATAACATTGTTTTTTTGAAACCTGCAGTGGACACTGGGATGTGGCCCAACAATAAAACACCTCCTGGGACCTGGGTTTGATCCCTGGCACCACAAAACAATCATAAACAAAACCATTACAAGACACATGTACAGATTGGTGATTAAATGCTACTTAGATCAGTGGTTTGCAACCTCTATCTGGTCTGCAGGCCCATGCATGCCTGTCCATTTAAATTTCCTGCACATCTGAGGAAAAGTTTTTGCTATTAACTGACAGTGATTTCCAGCACCAGTCCATAGGCGGAAAAAGTAGAAAGCCACTGACTTAAAGGTAGAAAACTTTGCAAAACAGTAGGAAGAGGCTTAACTATTTTTTCAAAAGCTTGAAAGCTCCTCTTAGTAAGGTACATTTCCTGTTTGTGTCTTCCAAGCAGTGCACAGGGGATCTGGAGTCCACTCATGTGATGCTCATCTAGTTGGGCCTCATGGCTCAGTCCGTGGACTGGTGAGGGAGTGCTGCAGAGTCTACAGTGCCCGGTGACACGAATGCGAATCCCGTGGTACCCCGGGACTCCTGTGGCCACACCTGTAGGTGCTTGGGAGATCATGTGGCCCCAGAGATTATGTTCAGGTCCTGCACATGCACAGCATGCCCCGTTGACTGTGGAGCTATTTCCCAGGTCCCAGGGGCATTAGAATTTTTAAGTGAGGGGCCAGAGGGATAGTATCAGGGGCTAGGGTGTCTTGCATATGACCAACCCCAGTTCCATCCCAGCCACTGCTGAGCCCTGCCAGGAATGATGCATGAACACAGCCAGAAGTGCTGAGTTCAGCCAGCTGTGACCACCACCTGCCCCCTCCCTTCCACTCAAGCAAAAATAAAATGAAAGAATTTTGAGAAATGACATGCACTCCATTTTTTAGTGAAAGTCTTCAAACTTGGTAAATTGATGTCTAATGAATGGTTTCCTCTTAATCTTGTCAATCTTTACGTGCTTGATTTTTGAATTCAACTTTATTATAACTACATCGATAGAGAAAAAGCTTGGCACTATTCATAGTTTCAGGCATTTGGTCAGGGTTCTTGGACATTCTATACCTTTCCGTAGGGTTTTGTGTAGTCTGTGCTTCCCATATCCTGTTACCTGTCTCTCATCCTTTGGGTCTCCTGAATACTTGGTTTGTCTGTCTCATTCCAGTAAAATTGCTAATGCTGAAGCATTAGTTAGTAGATGCATTTTTATTCTCAACCAGCCCATTTCTTTTTTTTTCTTTTTTTAATTTTGTTGAATCACCATGAGATAGTTATAAGCTTTCATGTTTGGGTTACAGTCACACAATGATCAAACACTCATCCCTCCATCAGTGCGCATTCCTCACCACCAATATACCCGGTATACCCCCGCTTTCCCACCCTCCCTCTGTGTCCATGGCAGACATGATTCCCCATAATCTCTCTCTACTTTTGGGCATTATGGTTTGCAATACAGACCCTGAGAGGTTATCATGTTTGGTCCTTTACTTTCTGCATACGTATCCCATCCCGACCAATTCTTCCAGCCATCTTTCTCCTAGTGATCCCTTCTCTATTTCAACCAGCCCATTTCACTGAATTGGTAGAACACAACTTCTTGGAGCATATTTTTGTCTTAGTTTATGAAAAATCACTTTTACATCATTATCTTAACTTTTTTTATATTTCTTCTTTTTTTTTCAATTTTTGCCTTCTATCTTATTTCTTTGATTGCCCATTCATTCTCTTTAAGGTTCTGTAATTGGTCATATTCTTTACTTATTTTTTTTCTCTGATAACCTTATTTTGTCCGCTTGCTTGAATTACTACCATATGTATATAGACAATCCATTCTATTTTTTTAAGGTTGCTTGTTTTTTTTTTCTGTGTGCAGAATGGAAATCTGGTTTCTTTTTAAGTTCCTTTCTTTTTTTTTGTCCTTACCAGACTAAGTAGTGTTATCCCCTTATTAAATCATAGAAGATCAAAACTGGAGAATTCTATCAGATTTTCCAACCATACGTCTGTCCTTTTTCATCTTTGTTGCAACAAGCATTTGGTGTTAACAGTTACTGTTGACCAACCCTGTCTCTTGTCTAAAGCAGCAAGAAGATCCTATAAATTTGGTCATCCTTGCCTTTCTTTTACCCACCTCATTTCTAGTTCTTTCTCTGTTCTGCGGTTAGAGATACTTCTTTGGAGAATTTGAATTAGTCTTGCCTCTGCTTTTCTATGCTGCCATAATATTGTCATATACATGGCAGTTAGAGCACTTATTCCATTTATTGTAATTATTTATTTATGTCTTCTCTTTTCCTAGATTGCACCTCTCTCCTTCTAGTTCAGTGGTTGGAAATAGATAGCTAATAAAACATTTTTTTTTAAGAAGTGTGACTGGCTTAATTAAAGGTTTGGGGGCTGGATCAATAGCACAGGCGGTTCGGGCGTTTGCCTTGCACACGGCCAACTTGGGTTCAATTCCCAGCATCCCATACGGTCCCTCTGAGCACTGCTACTTTAGATGAGACAGGGTTGGTCAACAGTAATTGTTAACACCAAATGCATGTTGCAGTGAAGATTGAAAAAGGACAAATGTGTGGTGGAAAATCTGATAGAAAAAATTGTGTGGTTTTTTTTTTCTTTTTAATTTTTGTTTTTGAGCCACATCTGCAAGCAGTTCAGGGTCTATTCCCAGCTCTGTCTTTGGAGATCACTCCCTGTAGTTCTTGGGGACCATGTGGTACTGGGGCTTGAACCCTGGGGTCCCGAATGCACAGCATGCACTCTAGAGTTTTGGATTATCTTCCCGTACCCTTAGCTTTTGTTTTACTTGTGGGAAGGAATTCAACTAAAATGTTCATTTTTTGAAAAGCAGTATCAATTATTATTTTCTTTGATCTGCATCCAGAAGACTTAAATTTAGTGCTCCTTCGGTCTCTTTAGACCTCTGTAAGGAGGTAATACTTAAGCGGGGGCTTGATTTAGTAATCTGGGCAGAAGGTCGTGACATGGAAGACAAACAGCATTAGTACTATTGAAAGCATTGCTGTGAGAGCATCTCCGGTTGGGATTCGAGCCACAGAAAGGGGTAAGCAGTAGAGAACTTGACAAGAGAGATTGGCAGAGCCTACATCACAAAGGGCCAGGGAGGGAGGAAGTTAGCAAGGTTTTGAGCTGGAAGTAACATGATTTTATTTGCATGTTTTTTTAAAAAAAAGACCACTTTTTGCTGTGTGGAGGATGAATTGTAGGGAGTCTAAGCACAGAAGCAAACTACTTCATATGCTATTGCAGTAATCGAGAAAGCACTGGAAACATTACTCAGAAAGCTATGATGATGGTTGGTAATAATGATAAAGGGGATACGAATTTGTGTTAAAATTATGCATTGGAGATTTTGATAATTAGATAAAGAAGGAAGATTTTTTTTAAAAGAGAAAATTCTTTTTTTTTTTTTAAATGTAGGAGTACTGCTATTTATTCAGCCATTGATTAAGCCGATTGAGCTGGGCATGAACTCCACATTACTTTTTTTTTAAATTTTTTAAATTGAATATCTGTGAGATAGACCATTACAAAGCTTTTCATAATTTTGTTTTGGTCATACAATGATCCAGCACCCATCCCTCCACCAGTGCACACCTCCCATCACCAATGGTTTTTCTACCACCATCCCCCACCTCCCCACCCCCTACCTCCAGCCTCCCTCTATGGGAGGTACTTTCCTTCTTGCTCTTTCTCTCCTTTTCTGAAAAGAGAAAATTCTAAGAAATGCTAATGTTAGAGTTTCATCACTGCAATATTATAATTTAAGCATAGTTAATTTTACTTTGAATTTTTAAAAAATGAATGAGAGGGACTTAAAAGATAGCTCAACGGGCTTCACATGCAGCAGACCCAAGTTATGATCTCTAGTATCAGATGGTCTCCAGAGCACTGCCAGGAGTGACCCAAGGCACAGACCCAGGAGTGACCCCCAAGCACTGCCAGGTGTGATCAAAACAAAAACAAAAAAACAAAAAATTGTGATTTAGTAGTCTCATCAGTGTATTTAATTACTTTCGTAAAAGATCAAAGGATTAAAAGCAAGCTTGAATTTTATTTTTTTATTTCTCTGAAAATATGAGTATATATGCACATTTTGAAGTTCTGTATTACAAATTAAGTTTTTTTAATACAACATCAGTGACTAACCAAATCTATTTCCCCTCAGATTAATGTCCTTCAATCAAAAAGGAGATCAGAAATCCTAAAATCAGTAAGATACTTATTGAAACGATATTTTAAAATACTTTGTGTGTTTATTTAAAGCAACATCATACTTATTTGCAATTCTATATATATGTAAGTTGAAATGTGTACGTATATAAATATATTTATTCCAAGTTCCTAATTATTTCCTTGTCACTATCCTGTCACTGTCCTCCCGCTGTTCATTGATTTGCTCAAGCGGGCCCAGTAATGTCTCTGTTTTGAGACTTGTTGTTACTGTGTTTGGCATATTGAATACGTCACGGGTAGCTTGCCAGGCTTTGCCGTGAGGGTGAGATACTCTCAGTAGCTTGCCGGGCTCTCCGAGAGGGGTGAAGGAATCGAATCCGGCTTGGCTGGGCTGGCTGAGCGCAAGGCAAACGCTCTACCGTTGTGCTATAGCTCCAGCCCAGGCTGGAGAGATAGTGAAGCAGCTAGGGCATTTGTCTTGTACACAGCCTGCCCAAGTTCGATTCCCAGCATCCCATAAGGTCCCCAATCCCTGCCAGGAGTGATTCCTTGGAGTAACACCTGAGCATTGCTGGATGTGGCCCCAAAACCAAATTATTTCCTTACTAACCTTTATTTGTACTTAATCATTTTTTTTCTCTGCTTGTTATTGATGTGTGTTACGTATTATGTTGAGCCTCTTGAAGCAGATATTTAAGTATATGAGACTAAACATATTCAAATAGTTCCTTGCGGAGAATTTTTCTACTAGGAGTGTTGATAACAGGTCAATTCTTTGGTGTGCATAAATAAATGTAATAAAAATTGAGAATCAGTGACAGTACGGGAGGGTTTTTAAAAAAATTTTTCTCCTGGGGGCTGGAGTGATAGCACAGCTGGTAGGGCGTTTGCCTTGCATGCTGCTGACCCTGGTTCGATTCCCAGCATCCCATATGGTCCCCTGAGCACCGCCAGGAGTAACTCCTGAGTGCAGAGCCAGGAGTAACCCCTGTGCATCGCTGGGTGTGACCCAAAAAGCAAAAAAAAAAAAAAAAATTTTTTTCTCCCACATCTATTTATCACTGGTATAGAATTTGAGGGAATTAGCTCCCCACCACTTTATTGTCTGTAACTCTCAGCTCTCTAACCACGAAGTTCTAGTATTGTTTTACCACCACCAAGACCCCCCTCTACTCATTCCTCCTAGCTTCCCTCCAGAACCAGCTTAGCTTTCATCAAATCTAAGAGGGAATTTGGGTTTCTTTTTTTTTTTTTGGCCACTTTATTTGCTTTATTCATATTCTTTTTTTTTTTAGGGATGTCATGTTTATTTTATTTTATTTTATTTTTATTTTTTAAAATTTTTATTAGTGAGACACCATGAGGTACAGTTGTAGACTTACAACTTTTTGTGCTTGGGTTTCAATTATACAATGATCAAATACCATCCCTCCACCAGTGCCCATTTCCCACCACCACGGATCCCAGTATCCCTCCCCCCCCCATCCCCCCCATCCCACCCTGCCTCTGTGGCAGGGCATTCCCCTTTGTTCTCTCTCTCCTTTTGGGTGTTGTGGTTTGCAAAAGAGGCAATGAGTGACAATCATGTTTCGTCTATAGTCTACTTTCAGCATGCTTCTCCCATCCTGGGAGGATCCTCCCAACACCTTTATTTGGTGTTCCCTTCTCTATCTGAGCTCCCTTTTCTCCTAGCATGTGTAGCTGGCCTCCAAGCCATGGAGCAAAATTCCTGATACTAATCTCGGCCATTCTTGGGTGTTAGTCTCCTATTTTGTTACTTTATGTTCCCCAAACCACCTGATAATTATTTTTCATTTCCTTCCTCTTTTTGCTTAGTATAATAATCTCAGGATCCATTGTGTTCGTGTGTTCGAAGGGGCACATTTTCAAAGGCAGTATAGTATTCCATTGAGAATGTATGTTTGTGTATATACACATAAATATATATATACATGTATATACATGTATAATAGATATGCATATACATTAATAAAGACAAAAGGGTGATATATAAATAGGTATATATATAATATATATACATATCACCCATGTTTTTTGTAATTCTAACACATGGAAAGGTGGTAATAATAGGATGTTGCACTCTCATGTTTTGTGAATCTTAGAAATATTTCTACTCTGAACTTGTTCATTGAAGTTAGTTTTTCTGAAATGGTATGCAAACAGCTTTTTATTCTAGTCTCATCTGATTTCCTCCCAAATTGTGGGCCAGCCTGTCTGTCTGTCTGTCTGTCTCTCTGTCTCTCTTTTAGCTGCCACACCCAGCAGACTTAGGCTTCTCCCAACACTTTGCCTGAGGTCATATATATACATATGTATATGTATATATATATGTATATGTATATATATATGTATATATATGTATATATACATATAGGGTCTTGGGGTGCTGGGGCTGGATCCTAGACATCCTCATACAAAGCATGCATGTAAGCCTTTTGAGCTAATCTCCCCAGCTCCTAATGTTGCATTTCTTTAATACAAATGAGTTTAAAAAAACCTTGAGCCCAGCAAGTTACCGAGAGTATTCGATATGCCAGACACAGTAACAACAAAGTCTCCAATGGAGACGTTACTGGGCCCGCTCGAGCAAATCGACGATCAACGGGAGGGCCTTTACCTTACCTTTACCTTTACCTTTATTTTTGATATCTTTTGGCCACTATATTCTCAGTTTATATCTTTTATCTCTTCTCCTATGAATGCTCATCTTTTTCATACTGATTTGTATTTTAAGACCATTAATTTTTTGTCATATTTTTCCTAGTTTATCTTTTATTCATTTTAAAAGGTTAATTATTTTGAGGGAGGACTTCCCAAGCAGTGCTCAGAATCCTCCAGCCCTCTCCTGGTGATACTTAGCCACCACGGTCCTGGAATGCCTGGATGCTTGGTCACAGCAGCCCTTCGGGGTTACCAGGGCTGCAGAGGGGCACGTGGTCAGGGGATGAAACTGCATCCTCATGCATGCAAGGCAGGTGTCTCTGCTTCCTGAGCTAGCTCCCTGCCTCTGCCATTATGCTTGTAATATACTTATTGTGTTTTGGAGTACAAGTATATCCTATATTTTTATGTAATCCTTCCCTCTTGTATATAATTGCTTTTTCAAATTATATTCACAAAGATTCATCAACTATTACCTAATTCTAGATTATCTCTCTCTCTCTTTTTTTCTTTTTAGGCATAAGAAAAATAGTGTAGGCTTAAGAAAAATAGGATGTTTGCGAAGAAGGGTCAAGCAGATCTTTAAAGAGTAAAAAGATCTAATTCCAGAATATTCTTTTAGTGAGCTTTGTTCTTTTGTATTTATGTTTTTAGTTCATTGGCTTTTCTTTGAAAAATTATTCTCTTCTAAAGAATTCTTCAGTGTTAAGGACCTTTTGCTTGTTTTAGATTTCAGAGAATTAAACAAATGCCTCTTGTTCTAAAAATAATAGAAATGTTGGAAGAATCTCTCAGTATTGTAATTTTATAATTTAATAATTTAATTTCTTCTCATGTGAAATAATAAAAACAAAGTGGTTTCTTTCTCCATATGAGTTGGTCAGCTATAGGAAAATTAGAAAAAGTCTCAACCTATTAATCACATTCTGAGTTGGTCCCTTAGTTGCAGTTTAATGTTTTTCCAAACTATTGGAAATGATAGCTATATAAATTGTGATAATCTAAATACAGTCTAAGCCAGCCTTTCTCTCCTGGAGACCATATGGACTGCCTGTTGACCCCAGGATATTCCAGAGAGCATAGGTGAACATGACACAGGGAGAAACAATGCAGAACTCGGGGACCAACTGCTAAGAGAGCCATGCCACAGGAAGGAAAGGAGGTTGGAAGGGGCCCTGGTTGAGAAACACCGGTCTAAACAACTAGAATTGGGGCGTTATTAAAATTTTGAGCCACTCGGAAATTTTCTTTCAAATGAAATATGTTCTCCTATTTGTAAATATTTCTGAAATGCTCTGCTAAGAATAGTGATTTTGTTTAATTTTAAATAGATATGTCATTTTGGGCATCTGTGGTATAATTTGTATGCATTAGGTGGAGATTTTTTAAAAAATTGTCTTTTACCTCAGAATGAAGATTCTAATCTATTTTTCCCTCTTATTAGATGTTATCCTTTATGTATGCCCATTTGGCCTTCTTTCATCAAGGATATGATCTATTTAGTGAACTTGGGCCCTATATGAAGGATCTTGGTGCACAGGTAATGTTCTACTAGATTTCTTTCGGTGGGCTTATTCTGTTTGTTTTGTGGTGGGGGGCGCCACTGAGATGGAACCTTACAGATGCAAGACATGTACTGTGTTACTGAGTTGCCTCCCCTGTACTTCTTGTTTCTGTACTGTTTTTTTTTAAAATTTTATTTATTTATTATTTTTTTGCTTTTTGGGTCACACCTGGTGATGCACAGGGGTTACTCCTGGCTCATGCACTCAGAAATTACTCCTAGTGGTGCTCAGAGGACCATATGGGATGCTGGGAATCGAACCCAGGTCGGCCGCGTGCAAGCCCTACCTGCTGTACTATCACTCCAGCCCCTGTAGTGTTTTTTTATTTTTAACTATGATTGATAGGTAATAAGTGAGAGTTGAGGGACAAAGTGGTGGATGTTGATAAGTGGGTAGATGAAGTATGTGGAGAACAGGGTAAAAATGTCAAGAAGTTCTGAAAATGACGAGGTGGTAGCTAGATTCGGTGTATGCGGTGGAGGAAGGTTTTATTTAAAACCTTTTTTAAAAACCTTTTTATTTGATGTGGTTTGCACAAATCTGATAAAACAGATGGGAATGGAAGAATCTCCCACATCCCCACAGTGCTGAAAAAAATGTATGTCTTTTTTTTTTTTTTTTGGCTTTTTGGGTCACACTAGCAATGCTCAGGGCTTATTCCTGTCTCAGCACTCAGGAGTAACCTGGCGGTGCTAGGGGTGAATCATGGGATGCTGAGGATTGAACCAGGGTAGGCCGTGTATAAGATAAACACCCTCCCCTCAGTATTACCGCTCTAGCCCCATTTGTTTTAACTTAATGCCCCACCAAAATTGGGGAATTTCCCTCTTTCCCTAGCAGCAGTGGTGGGGTTCACACCAGGCGACTTTAGTGCTGATGTGACAGGCAGAAAGCCATCCCTTGCTCTGCGGTACTATATGGCAGGAGTGCGTGTCCAAGTTTATAAATACGAGTTTGAATCTTGGGACGTACCTTGTACTGCCCTTCATTCTGAATGTGTGAAATTTATGGGTCATTTCATTCCAGCGTTTAGTGATTGTTTACTTCCTCATTTGGAATAAGAAATTATGGAGGACACAGAATTTCCTAGTACAGAATGTACTGGCATTACCTAGTATGTCAATATGTCATGAAGGGCCCATTGCCATCCTGGGGTGATGCTGGGGACGGAATCTACCACTGCTTCACACCCGCAAGGCGGAAGGGGCTCTATGCCCGAACTATGCCCGAACTATGCCCGAACTATGCCCGAACTATGCCCGAACTCAGACCTCAAGTATGGAACTGTGTTTTTTGTTTTGTTTTTGCATTTGGGGGCCACACCTGGAGGTGCTCAGTGCTCTGCGCTCAGGGATCACTCCTGGCAGCATCGGGGGAATGCTAGAGAGTGAACCTGGGTCAGCCGTATTCAAGGCAAATGCCCTACCCACTGTACTGTTGCTCCAAACTCTGAAAGAACATTTACACTTAAAAAAAAATTTTTTTTTTCTAGTTTGGGGGCGGTCACAGGAAAAGAAAATGTTTTTAGTCTACAGTGGCTGCTCCCTGCTCGGGGTCCCATCCCAGCAGACACTGAAAGACCTTGTGAGACCATGGATGGAACCTGGGTGCTTACAATACAGTGCTCATCCCACCGAACTCTCTCTAGCCCTGGAGTAATTTTACTTTTTTTTTTTTTTGGCTTTTTGAGTCACACCCCAACCCAATGCACAGGGGTTCCTCCTGGCTCTGCACTCAGGAGTTACTCCTGGCGGTACTCAGGGGACCATATGGGATGCTGGGAATTGAACCTGGGTTGGCCGCTGTGCTATTGCTCCAGCCCCCAGTAATTTTATTTTAAAGAAAATATTTTATAGGGGCCCTATGTAGTGGCCTTAGGGCTCTGGGGCCACTTCTGGTGGATGCTTGACTGCGAGTCTGCAGTTTGATGCTAGGACTGTGTCTCTTCAAGCTCGGGGCCTTGCCCACGAGCCATCTCTGTCCCCCCGCCCTCTCCCCTTGATTTTAAAGGGTCTTATCGAAGTCCCGCTAGCTCAGCTGGTAGAGAATATGTTTGGACTGTATCATACTTAATATTCCTTCATGTTTCAGTTGTTCTTTACATTTTTATTCACTCCTGATGCATATCTTAATCAGTAGACTTGAAGATGATAACAATACATCATGATCTGGATAGACCCACATAATGGAGTATTTTATAAGCCAATTATTTGTTATTCCAGCAAAGAGCAGTGCAGGAAGCCAGGCCATCTTCAGGATACTGGGAATCAGATACTTCTCTTCTGATGGGAAGTTTTCTTTCCTGATTAAAGGAACAAAAATAAATGGGTTATGATTTCGCAAGTGCAAAGAGTCGGTGTGCACGTGTTACTTCTTTGACCTAGGCATTGCCTGCCCCTCTGAGTGCTGCTGGGTGAGATCCACAAATTAAAGAAACAAAAGCAACAAGCGATAGAAAACAACCCTTAAAATGTTGCCTTAAAGAAAAAAAAACCAGACTGTACAAATTTTTACTATTTTTTAGTATTTTATTATCTCTGTTCTCTTAGATTCTATAACATAGGGAAGTCAGCTTGAAAGCCTGAAGCAGCTGGAATATTGAACTTGAGAGAATTAGCTCTCCAAACAAACAAACAAACAAACAAACAAAAAACCCCTGAACCCCAACAAAATAAAACACAAAAGTCACTTCTTTCTACCTTTGATGGGAAGGACCCGAGTTATTGAGTGGGTCAGTATGCAATTTAAGATGGTTGTTTTCCTTATTCAAGGAGCGAACATGTTCGCTCGGCCATGCCCTTGGCCAGGCCCCCTGTCACAGGTACTTGGCACAGTGGCTGATCCTGGAAAGCTTTTCACCAGAGGAATCAAAGACCTTCCCAAAGAAAAATTGATACCTTGCAGGAAAAAAAAGAACTTTTACGTTGAGATTCTAGCCCAAATGCTATTTATTTACTTACTTAACTTAGGACTTGGGGTCATTTCAGCTCTGTGTTTGGGGGCTGCTTCTGATGATGCTCAGAGAACCAGTGCCCCACATCAAATCCAGGAGACCAAGCATGCCAGGGGCCAAAGCACGCTTTGCTTGTGCACAGCTCATTGAGCTGTTTGTTTAGATCCTCAGAGGGCCTCTTAAATGTCAGTGCACTTATGAATTATTAAAAAATAATCGTGCCTTTTTTTCCCTGGGATTTTAAAGTCAGGTTTTTTTTTTCTCCTCTCTAGTTGGATCGACTAGTTGTGGACGCAGCAAAAGAGAAAAGAGAGATGGAGCAGAAACATTCCACCATCCAGCAAAAGGTACCTGAAAAGTTAAACATGTTGAGCTCTCATTCTATGCAATCGTTTGATCCTTCCTTTCAGTAGGATAACTTTGTGTTGGGGCCAACCCTTTGAATTGCTTTTAATAACTAAAATTTGGAGACACAGTCTCTTTCTTTGGTGGAAAATAAAATTTTCTGAGGTTCATGCATGTATCTTACACGTTGATAAATATTTCATAGTCATACTCTTTAACTTGTTCATAAAAACAGGACACACTCAGAGCCTTAACTAATTGGAAAGTGGCCCTCAAAATATAAATTACTAGTTTCACCTTATAAGGGAATGACAAATGGCCAAAGGCAACAGAACCTGACAGCTGGTCTGTAGAACTGAACTTACCATGGCAGGAGGCTTGGGTGGGGGGGGCGGTATTCTGGGGTGACAGATACTCTGGCAGAGGGTTTCATGTTGGGACATGTAAATTACAGGTTAGTTGTCACTGGCCCCTGCAAGAAGTGTGTGAGAGAAAGAAAGAACAGGCAGGAGTGGGGAGAATCTTCACCCTCCAGCACGTTTGCTTGTTCTCACAGATCTTGCCAGGAGAGGCAGCCCCTCTCTGCTGTGAAAGTGAAATTTCACTTGTGTTTCTTGCTAATTTGTCCAAGCCATTAATATTTGAGAATTATGCTTTTTAAATATAAACTAAATAAATAGCTAGTTTGCATATCTCTATGATAAAAGCTGTGGGTTTTTTTTTTTGTTTTTGGGGTTTATTTTGTTTTGTTTTTTGGTTTTGGGTCACACCCGATGATGCTCAGGGGTTGCTCCTGGCTCTGCACTCAGGAATTACTCCTCGCAGTGCTCTGGGGACTATATGAGATGCTGGGGATCGAACCTGGGTCTGCCACACACACACCTGCTATACTATTACTCCAACCCCAGTGCTAAAAGCTTTGGCTGTCACTTAGCTTAGTATTAGTAAGTAATTAGTTTATCTCATAGTGTGTGTGTGTGTGTGTGTGTGTGTGTGTGTGTGTGTGTGTGTGTATGTGGTAAAGGGAAGAATTTGAATTCGGTTGTGTTTGTTTGTGTGCTTGGTTTTGGTTTTTGGTTTTCAGGGGCTATTCTTTACCTGCTGTTCAGTGGTCACTCCTGGTGGTGCCGAACAAACCCAGCTTCTTGAATGCACAGCCTGTGCTCTACCCCTTTGAGCCATCTCCCCAACCCAAGAGTTTGAGGGGGTGTGGGGAAGAAGATTTTCACGGAGTGTTAAAAAGACCCTGGGCTCCATTGGTGATTCTCAGCCAGCCAGTCTGGGGATTCAGTGCAGGGGCTCAGAAATGTGAGGTTATCTGGATCTTGTGATACTGAGGATACCTGAGTCACCACAGTGCTGGGGATAACCCAGGAATTCGAGGTTTATGGTAGTAATACAAGTACGTGGCAAGAGACCTCTAGTATTGCTTTTTTTTTTTTTTAATGTGATGGTATGTCTTTATTTTTTAATTTATTTTTTAAATATTTATTTATTGAATCACTGTGGGAAAAGTTACAAAGCTTTCAGGTTTAAGTCTCGGTCTCTAGTATTGCTTTAAGGATGTTCATTTTTCATGGTACTGAGCAGTGATATCAACTTCTATTATGATTAATTAGAATTTGAAGTACCAGTAAACTAGACCTGAGATAGAAGATACCAGTAGAGAAAAATGAAAGTAAAATCCATGTTAAAAGTTAGAAAGAAACTTTTTGGTGGTGGATTATTAATGCTTAGAAACATTATTTAAAATAGATCTTATTTAAATTTATCGCTTTTAGTGAGTTATGAATAACTACACATTTTATTTTGTTCAAGGTTGGAATCACTTTTGGTTGTTTGACTTGTTTTAATGATATTACCATTAAAAGGTTGTTGAAATTGGGACTGATAATTACTGATTAAAATGAGAGATTGTTGTATTTGTAGAAATGTTAATATTTGCTTAAATTGATTAGTATTTTGCATCTTTTAATCTCTCCCTATTGTTATACATATGCTCAGTGTTGTACTAGATGTCAAAAAGTGGTAGATTATTAAGTCTTAAGAAAAACTTATTTGATTCAGAATTGTCAATTGTTATTTGCTTTCAAGGAAAATCATGCTATTTTTGCTTATTGTGAATCCTTTTTTCCCCCCTGCCCTTAAATGCTGACACAAGGCTGCATTACAGGTAAAAACCAAGACAGAGAGACAGAGAGACAGAGATCCAATCAACTGAAAATTAAGGGAAAATTTGTTCAATGTAATTGTTTACATTTTTTAAGAATTGAAATTGAACTGTTGAAGGGACAGTGATGCTGTGTGCGTTCATGTTCGTGCCTTTGCGTTTGTCTTATACGTTCCTGATGGCTGTATACCTCTGAATAAAGCAACAACCGGTCAGAGAGCACATGTTAGTTCAGTTTTAGTAGAAAACGTTAAGTTACTTTTCAGAATGCTGTATCATTCCCAATAGGCAGTACTATGGGCATGTCCCTATTACTCATTCCTCCCTCATTGAATTGTCACAGTTTTCATTTTTCCCCTAATTTGACAAGTAGATGTTGACATCTCATTGTGGTCTTACATTATACTTTAGTCACTAGTCTCCTCCAGTACATTCCTCTGTGTCTGTGGATTGTTTTGTGAAATGTCTAGTAATCTTCTAATTGTACATTGTGACCTGTAAATCAAATTATTCATATATTCTGAAAATAAGCCTCCATTGGGGGGAATACGTGTGCTTTTAATTTTCAGTTTTTCAGTGTGTCTTTTATCTTTGATACTTTTTCGTCTTCTTTAATAAATCCTTCCCAGCCCAAGATCCTGAAGATATCTTCTGTATAATAATCTAAGTGTTTATAAATAATTAGCCTTTTAGGGAGTCGGAGAGATAGTTTCAATGGGCTGCATAAATGCTTGCTGTGCAGTTAAAGCCGCACATCCTCTATGCTCCCTGAGGATGGCCAGGTGTCACGGTCACTGTCCTCCCGTTTTTCATCGATTTGCTTGAGCGGGCCCATTAACATCTCCATTGTGACAATTGTTACTGTGTTTGGCATATCGAATATGTCAGGAGTATCTTGCCAGTCTCTGCCGTGCGGGCGAGATACTCTCGGTAGCTTGCCGGGCTCTCCGAGAGGGCCAGAGGAATCGAACTTGGGTCGGCCATGTTGGCCACTTGCAAGGCAAACACCCTACCTGCTGTGCTATCACTCCAGCCCGGCCAGGTGTGGTCCCTAAATTAAAAGAAAAAAAATTAATGGTCTTTTAGTTCTTTAGTTCCTGTGTAATTGGTGTTTTGTGTGCATTGTGATACCGAGATCCAGTATTCTTTTATCCTCACATTGTTGGCTAGTTGATCCAGAGTTAGTTATTTAACAATTTTTCTTTTTCCTGTACCTCTATAATATTAGTTTCCATACATGTGAGTTTGTTTCAGGCTCTATTGTGAGTCATTGATCTGTCTTAACCCTCAAGGGTGATGTTTGGGCCACACCTGACAGTGCTCAGGGCTTATTCCTGACTCTGCACTCAGGGATCACTCCTGGTGGGCTTGGGGGACCACATGGAATCTGGGCGACAGAACCCGAGTGCAGTCTGCAAGGCAAGCTCCCTATGTGCTGTACCGTACTCTGGCCCCAGTCTTCTATCTTAATTATTTTTGCTTTACTGTATGTTGTAATTGCTTATGAAGCAAAACTTTTCTAATTGTTTTTTTGGTTGTTTTTTGTACAATGTATAAAATTTTGGGGTTTTTTTTGGGGGGGGGCGGGGTGCGGGGATGGTGGGGCACACACCTAACTGTGCTTGGGGCTTAGTCCTGCCACTAAGCTCAGAGATCACTCCTGGTGGGTTCGGAGGACCAAAAATGTATAATGTATTTTAAATTTCTTTTTATAGAATGTTGCTGCAAGCCAACATAATTGACCTCAGCAATTATGAGCAACTATGACCCAGGGTTTGCAAAGCACAGCTCTAGATTGCACATGACCAGATACCATTGCCTCCATTTATAAACATCTCCTCACACATCTTCACATCAACTTTGTAATTAAGATGATTTTGCAGATAAGAAGAATGTGCTTCAATGGCTGCCCAAAGTCATAAGGAAGGAAGTAGTTTTGTGGGGAATTTGAAAGATTGAGGACAGTCCTGAAATGCACCATTACCAGACTAGATGACCACAGCTACAGAAATTCACAGGGCATCCTTTATTTAGATACTGAGGCCTGTGCCTTGCCCAGGATTTTGAAAACACTGCTCCACAGGGCAAATCATTCCCAACTCAGCCTCAGCACCTCCTGTCAGTGTGGATGGAAACATCCCATTGTTTAAGTCAAGGATGATTTTTTTTCCCTTGTGGAGGAGGTGGGTAGGGAAAGGAACTCTTCCTTTGGGAGAGTAGACGGGCCAGTGGCTTGTTTTTCTTTGGCCAGGAATTGGAAATTCTCAGGGGGAAGTATATTAAAAGCTATAAGAAAAAGGCCTGTGATGTTGAGTTCCCACAGATGGAAACCATAAGGCCAGGGAATGTGCCGAGTTCACCCCAGTCTGTAATTTCCTCACCCTCCATGGCAGTTCCTACGTGGAGGATCTCTCCTTTTCTTCTTACAAAGGGAATTGCCTAATTTTGCATTTCCACGCAAATTTCAGGAGTTTTCCAGTTTTGGCTGGAATGGGAATTTTGGGTCTCTGAATCAGTGTGGAGAATTATAATCATGAGCCTGAAACATCTCTCATGTGAATGTTTGGTTTGGGGGATGCCCCTGGTGGTGCTTGGCTGATGTCCCCTGGGGACCAGGCCAGGGTCTGCTGTGTGCTTTGTGGGCACTTTCACCCCCTACTACCTCTCTAGCTGTGAAAAATTTCTCTTATTATTATTTTCTTCAATGTCCTTCACAAAGTTTATAATTTGCTTCTTCTCTGTTGTGGTAGTTTGCAAATGTTTCCTTTTTAAAACAAATTTTCTTTCTGTTTATTTTTCTTATGTATTAGAGTAAAATTTATTTTTCTGTGTCTGGTTTTACCACCAATAAATCTTGTTAGGCAATCCTTTATTCTAATTTAGTTCATCTTTTCATGCTTTTGGATGTTCTGTACACAATGTCTTTCTTACTTTGGTAAATTATTTCTTCCTTTCCAAACTTTTTGTTTGTTATTGTAGTGGATAGTACTTCCAAATAATTTTCATTGAAGTTGTAATAATGGTAGGTTGGGTGTTTTTTTTTTTCCTTTTTGCCACGCTTGCAATTTCAAAAGGAAGAGCTTCTATTAGCTTTTCTTTTATTAACCTTTGTTTAGCTTCTGTTCTCTGGGTCCCACCCTGGAGCGGCCAGTGCCCGCAGTGAAAGCAGCTTCCTTGCTCTGCTGACCTCTTTGGCTTCCAGTTTCCACTTAGTATTTTACCACTGAATATTCCTTCCACATCAACTCATGACTACATCTAAACTCTGATATTCTGTATTTTCTCCAACATTATTAGCTGTTTCATAGTAGCATAAGGATTATCAAAAAAATATTAAGGTCCTAAATAAAACCTTTAGAATGTTGCCCAAATCAGTTTTTTCTATTGCTAAATTAATTCTGTCAGTATAATTAACTTATAGCCTCAATTACATTTTTAATGAGGGAATTAAATTAAACTTGCCCTGTTTTTTTGGGAGAGCACCACACCTGGCATGCAAAATGTGCATTTGCCCATTGAACTATCCTCCTGACTTCTGCCTGGATTTTTTTTTCCCCAAAGAAAATGTAGGAAGAAAGATCTTAATTCATTTACAATTGCTTAATCTGATCATTTTAGAATATTAAATCTTTTTATATGGCTTAATTTTGCAAGATATCAAGAGAATTTGTATTTGATTTCTGAATTTTGTATATCTTGTTTACTTAACTTCATAGACTCCACTATGGAAGGTCCTTAGGTGACTCTAATCTTTCTTATTCAGTGCAAGGACCCCCACATCCCAAGCAAATGCTTATCCAGCCTTTGCCAAACTCTCAAGACAAAAATTTTGCAATTCTCTTAGTAGAATTGCAGTCTAATTTTGAGCATTAATTTGGATGTAATTTGAATTTCTGAAACTGATATTTAGAGTTTTTAATTGTGGGTAGGACAACCACCTAGCAGATTTGTAGGTATTATTTTGGAAGTTCATGAGGAAATATTTCAATGATAGGATTTCTGTTTGGTTGAGTGGGCAGGTGGGAGGAGGGGCAGAACCAGCTATGATCAGGGACTACTCTTGGGTCAGTGCTCAGAGACCAGGCATGGGTTAAACCTGGAACTGAGACATACAAAGCATGCACACCGGCCCTTTGAGTCCTCCCTCTCTCCTCAGCCCAGGGTTTCTGATTTAAAAATTCCATTAATCCTTGGTGGAACAGTGAAAATGTAAATGGTTGCAGATGAAGACTAGAATGATGAGAATGTTCAATGACTATGAACGATTCCAAACTCCTTGTGAAAAAGAAAAAAAAAAAGTGAGCTCAGCATTCCCACTTTGGTTCCTTCCTTACATTGAAACCTAGGGCTGGGAGGTAGTACGGGGGTAGACCTCAGCCCCTCATGACCTTCCTAGCATCACCAGGTAAGCCTTAGAGATACCCAGCACTGCCGAGCATGGCATTGTTTGTGCCCGCCTGAACTGCAAAAGGAGGAAGCCTATTTGAGGGAGGAAATGGCCGTAGCTGCTTGATCCTGTTTTTGAAGTCAGAATAAGAAAAATTTACCCCAACAGTAATGTATATACATACATATATATATTTCATATATAACAAATAGTGGTAGAGATTATTCCGTCCAAAAATGAATAGCACGCATCATCATGAAATATTGAGATAACATGAAAATATTTTAAATAATGCCCTGTGTGATGGTTACTTGTTTACAATGTGGAACTGGTTTCCTTTGCCTATTTGTATATATAATTTTTTAGTGGGGGGGCAATGTACCTGCTGATCCTTGGGGGCTGCTCTTGACTCATTGCACTGGGGTTGCGCCCAGTGCTGCTCCAGGCATTGGGGGTTATACCTTGACCTCCTACTAAAGCATGCGTGTTCTCTCTCACGCTTCCTCTCTCCCACTCTCTCTCTTTCTCTCTGGCCTTGTGTACATAACTTTGGTAGACTTACATAATAATATAATATAATTTATTTTTATTTTCTCTTATGGTCCGTGGAGCCATGTTTCTGTATCATCACAACATTGTATTGTTGTCCATTTAGTGTGCTGAAACATTTTTATTATTAAGTCTTCCCATTTCATGAATATTATGGATTCAATGAAGCCTAAAGCTTTTCTTACTGTTTGAGCTATTTCTCTGGGATATGTTTATAATTTAGAGAACTTAGCCAAGTCATATGACCTTTTTGTGTGTTATTTTACCTAGGATTTCTCCAGTGATGACTCTAAATTAGAGTATAATGTAGATGCTACAAATGGCATTGTAATGGAAGGATATCTATTCAAACGGGCCAGCAATGCCTTCAAAACTTGGAACAGGTAATATATTTTAAACACTGCTCTCAAACTTTTTATATGGTTGTCCCTATGATTTGCCAGCTCTTTTCTTCATAATTCTCTAAATGCACAATCCACAGTAACTTTCCTGAACCAGCTTATTGAAGATAAGATATCTTGCTAGGCAAGGGGACCTTAAGAAGCATATGCAGGATGACAGTACCACTTCCCAACTCTAAAATTCAAATGAAGTTTAACCCCCATGTAATAAGGAGAATTTTTATGCTTGATCCATAGAAATTGATTATAATAAACTGAATGTGTTGCCTCTATTTTTGTTATGAATTAGATTTGGTTACAAACCACATATTTGAATATTTTGGATGATTAGGACAAGTGAGCAGTTTCCCCCTTGGGGTTCCTCCCTTATCTGCTGTCTACATATTGCTAAGTTTTATGAATCTCTAAGCTGTCACCTTGATTTTTCTAGTCACTTTGACCAGGAATTTTAGAAAATGGGATTGCTTTTATACGTAAAGTATGTTTGGTAGCTGTTATTCCTTTATTACAAACTTTTAGTGTTAACAAAACATTTGAATTTTGTTTTGTTGAATTGCTTTGTATAGGTACTATACAGTAAATGTGAATATATATGTAATATTACCTTCCCATGCACTATAATAAAGAGACAATTTCAAACATTAACTCATACAAAAAGTTTGGGTTGTTTCAGGATTATTCTTCTAATAAACAGGGATTAATCTTATTTCAGGATACCTATCTTTTTTTTTCAGGAAAAATATAATTTAATAATAAAATAGAGTAGTATTGGTTTCTAGTCAGTTGATTTACTGTTGATTATATATATTTCATTTGCTACTTGAACAAGATGTGTATCAATTAATGTTAGTGAAGATTGTTTTCTTTTTAAACATAGACATTAACAAAATAAACAGAATTTACTTGGTAAGTTTAGTTTAGTTTAAATTTTTATTAATTTCTTTGGAAACTAAATATTCAATATATTGAAATGGATTCCTGTGCATTCATTTTGATTTCTAGAAAACACATTGATATTTTTAAATGTCAGTAATTTATTGAACACTTCCCTAACATTTGTTACTACCAGATGCTTAAATGGTGCTTGTTGCATTTTATTTGAAATAATTTTCCCCTTGAAAATAAATTTGAGAGAATTTGATTCTTGATATTAAACTTATTTGAATTGTATAGAAATTAAAAAATATTTGAATATGGAAGAACCGGTTAATATGATCTGATTAGAAATAATGTTTCTGACTTTAATTTTATAAGTTTATATTAAATTTTAATATTAAATTGAATAATTAAAAATTAAATTATATTTCTAACGTGTAAAAATTGATAAAATAGTACTTTAAGCCTTCTTGGCAAATTTTTGTGGTCAGAGTAGAAAGTTAAAATTAAAAATAGTGATTGTCAGATTTTTATAATAAAGATTTCTCAGCTAATATGGTTTCATGAGGTAACATTAGAATTGAATTTTAACCTTCAGATTTCAAAACAACCTACTTAAAAGTTTAACAGTGAATATACAATAAATTTATAAAAACTATGCCATTATCTTAAGAAGATATGAAATGAACTTCCATGGACTACTCCAGTAAGAAATGATCTCAGACTTCAAAATGAAGCACAGTAAGTGTTAGTGGAAACTTGCATTGCCATGTAGGGCAATAGAAGGGAATTAATACTGATTTAAGCACGAACCTTCTCCCTTTATTATTTCACAAATTTTATTAATTGGCATAGATATTTAAATGTACTGAATAAACAAGTAGGTACTCAGTTGTAGATATATTGCCTATCATTTACAAGTATAAATGCCTTTGGAAATAAGGCTGTTTTTTAACTGAGCAGCTGTCTATACATAAAAGATTGACAGTTATTGATAGAGTCAAATATTGTTGTTCAAGACCTTAATTTTCGTCAAGAAATAGAAGCACAGATGGTTGCTTTTTCAAGGACACACAGCTGGTCTGTGACAAAACTGAGGCACAAATCTTGACATTTGAAAAAAAATTGCTGCAAAAATTTAAAAAAAAGTGTATTGATGAAATGCAACTTCAATTTTTTTTTAAAAAGTTTTTGGGAATGTTAGTGGTAGAGAACACACTTTGCACATATGAAATCTTAGTGGGTTCCCATCTTCATCAGTGGTTTTCAAACAGCTTAAAAATAGCCTTCTAGTCTTTTTGTATTATTGGGTGGGGGGGAAATATGACCAAGTAATTTCATGTTTATATACCTTTAAAGAACATTTTGATGACAACACTAGTAGAAATCTGATTCGAAAGGAATGTAGAAGGGGCTAGAGAGGTAGTGCCAGAGAGGCAGCATGAGGGCGGCTGCTTTGCGTATGTCTGGCCCTGGTTCAGCCCCTGGCACCACACAACCCCGCTCTGCTTTGCCAGCTGCAGGCCTGGAGGCCTTGGAGGTCCCTGTCACTGCAGGACCCAAGCAGCCTCACCTTTGGGCCCTCACACTGAACTGCCAGCCCGAGTGGCCAGGTCAGAGGGGCCCTGGGCCTCCTGAGTACACTTGGAAAGTCTAAAACAAAAACCCAAACCAGAAAACTAGTATGACGTCTAAACGTCACGTAGACCCTTCACAGAGGGCAGGGGAAACAGCTCAAAGGGATGGAGCCCGCAGTTTACTCCCTGGCATCATCGGGCCTCCGAGAGCACTCTTAGAATGACCCTGAGAGTTGTGCTGAGAGTTGGCCCTGAAACAGCTGTGCATGGTCCAAAACAACACAACCACAGCAACAACAAAAACAACATAGTAAATCAGAACTCTTCACAAAAAAATTGAAACTCTAAAAAAGGTCTTAATTTTATTTTTTTAGCCCATAAGGCCAGTAACTATAAAAGGAATAAGAACGAGTCATCTAGTCAGTGCTATTTAAATTTTTCTTTAGTTTTCAAAAATTGGGAAATTTTTTGCTGGTCTTTTGGGCCACACTCAGCAGTGATCAGGAGCTTCTTCCAGCAGCTCATGGGAGAAGATGACGCAGTGCTGGGGTATACTCAGCAGGTTGAGTGCCCTGGTCCCTCAGTGAGGAGAAGCTGGGATGTGGGGTCAGAGCAGTAGTACAGTAGGTAGAAGGCACTTGCCTTGCACGCAGCCAGACTGATTCGATCCCCAGCACAACACATGGTCCCCTGAACACCACCAGAATAAACCTGTAGCACACTGAGTGTGGCCCCGAAGACAAAAAACAAAACTAAAAACATTGGAATGTACCAATATTATATAAAGTTTTTTGACATCCAATCTTCAAAAATACTAGGAGCCAATTTCCTTTTGATCTATTTTGAATCTATTCTCCTCCTGTAATAAAGTTCTCAATCCAGCTTGACTTCATCAATTCTTCTGGCCTCTGCTTAAGGCTGTATTTGTAATATTTGTTCCTTAACTTTAAAAGGCCCAGGAATCCAGATATTTATACAGTGATTTTTTTTTCTGCTCACTGCTTAAAGATTTTTATAGATTATGGTTTACTTTGGGAGAAATAATTTTCCTTGTAGACACCAATCATGTAGAAAGTACCAATCATGTAATGGCATGTTTGGAAAAGTGGCATATAATATATTTTGAAATCGACTTTTTCTAAAAACGACCTCTTTTCTGAGGCAGTGCCCAGTGAAAGCAAACCCTAAGACTTGGACCACAGAAATGAGGTTACCGAGGAATGTCTCAGTAGGCTGAAAGGTTCAATGAACTGGTGGCACTTTGGGGGTGGGTGTGGTGTGGTAACACTGTACTGTTGATACACAACAATTTATTCTCTTCTAAAACCACCTTTAAGAACAAGGAAAACAGAATAAAGACTCCCTTCTGGAGGGAAGTGCTACTGTGCCTAGAGAATTTTTTAAACTATGTAGTTTTAAAACGGAGACTAGGCTTCATAACATAGTTTTCAAACCTAACATCATTCTAACCCCTAAATTTAATGATGGATATCGATCATATTTATGTTACACATGAGAACTGCAAAGTTTTATATCTTGAGGTGGATTGTTAAGCTTGTTTCTGATAGGTTGCAGAGTTTAGGTTTGTGATATCTTGGGATTTTTCATGCATCTATAATCTTATGTATTTTTCTGAGGACCTGTGAGAACTGCCAAAATAATCTTCTATATAAAGTCATTTTCTCAAAGTGGCAGCTTCATGTCAAGCTCAAATCATTGCTAGATGGATTACTAGTACCAGTCTTTCTCTTTTTATGAAAAGTTAGAAAAGATGAATGATCTAGAAAAATAAGTAAATAATAATAGAACCTGTCAATAAGCAAGACCAATAGGCTTTTTAGTAGTAGTAGTAGTAGTAGTAGTAGTAGTAGTAGTAGTGTCGTCGTAGTAGTAGTAGTAGTAGCAGCAGCAACAGCAGTAGTAATAATAATAATAATAAGCTATTTAGTAATAAGCAAAACCAATAAGCTGAATCAGTTACAAGCTTTGCTTAGTCATCGTTGAAGTAGAAAAACAGCCAGAAACAAAGGTGCATTATATAGTTTCTTAAAATTCTCTGTGTAGATAGAAACTTTTGTTTTATTGACTTTTTGTTTTAGATGATAAAAAATGTTGATATAGTTTACAGAGAAACTCAACTTTTGTCTGACCATAGAGTTTCTGTCGTTTGATGAAAAGTGGGTGAGCCTAAGGTTTATTTGACTGATAATGTTTGATAATTCTTGGCACTAACTAATGATTTCATTCTCTGTAGAAAATGTTTTCTTTTGTCTCAACTTAAACTTTTAGGAACTTAAATATATGTAAACTTAAATATATCAACTTAAATTTTCAGGAACAGTTTATTAAGATGAGGAAAAAATACTAAGTTTAATATCTGTTGAGTATCAATACAGAAAATGACAGTGGAGATATTCCCAAGTAAACTAAGTACCACTGAAATTGTCTATACTGTGTATCTGAAATTCTTTATGTTTAAAAAGAATTCGGATACATAAGAATTGGAATTAATTGTAAAAATGCGTATGTGTATAATATGTGAACAAAGCGCACCATATTTTTGACTTTAGGTTGTCAGCTTTAAGCTCGTTTCTTTAATTCTTGCTTTATTTTCATATCATGCTAGTCCTTTGCTTATTTTGCACATTTGCGTTTTCATTCTTTTACCACCTTTCCCTTATGTTTTAATCCTGCCCCATTTTTTCACATGACAGGAAAAAGCCCGATCATATCAGGTACCAAATGGCTTCCTTCCCTTTACCCTTGCCTTATTTCAATTTCCTCTTTGGCACGAGAAAGCTCATAATTAACCTGAATTTCAGTTGGATTACTTGCAATGGATATAAAGTCTCAAGTTTTAAATTGCAAAGAAAATATACGCCTCTTATTGGAAAAATGAAATTATACCTTTTCATTGCCTCTCTCTTCAATTTGTTTTAATTTAGGGGGAAAACCCCATTTAATATGCTTAGCTACCCAGGAAATATTTAGACCAATTAGCATAAGCTTTTCATAAAATTTAAATAGTAACTAAGAATTAGTCCCTGTGGTAGTAACTACATTAGATATGTTGAAAGTAAAAACATTGTCAGTTCCTAGGGGTTTTGTTTGTTTCCTCATTTTTCTCTTTTTTTCCCCCTCAGAAAATAATTAAATTGAATTTTATATGAAAGAGCATGCATGTTCAGGTGCTTATTTTTTTAAAGATACACTTACTTGGCACCTATCTGAATATGTGAACTTATCCATCAAATGTTTTTCATTTTAGTGATAAAACTTTTATGGATTTTCTATGGGTTTAGAAGTTTGGTTCTGTGGTGCTGGCTAGATGCTGGCTGGGCCTCCCACATTCAAGGCTAGTGGTCTTCTACTGAGCTACATCCATCCAAGACTTAGACGTTTTGGCTTTCACCCTTGTTCTTGATTTCAAGTGCTGTTCTAAGATTAGCGATCAAGCTTGGTAAAGGTACTTGGTGTCTCATTTTATATATTCCCCCATTTTGCCATCTGGAAGCTCTTACTGCTGTGAAAATGTTAATATTATTTTAACTTGATTTTTTTTATCTAATTATATTTTGTTGAATTCAATTTGAGATATAAAGTGATACCTTGATTTTCTTAATGCATCAGTGAATTTTTCATGCATCAGTGAACATTTCTATTTTGATTTTATGAGTTTTTGTGTGTTACAGACCATGTTGTCTGCTCAGTGCTTTTCTGAGTTTGCCCCTTTTGATTTGATTTCACTTCATGAGTATCTTAAAACTGTAGGTAACTTGAGCTTAAACTTATAAATGTTTTTGTAATTCAGTAATTTATAAGCTCGTTTTTTCTCTTTTTTGGGGTGGAGGGTGGTGTTGTGGGGATGGAACCCCAGTCTCCTGCATGCGAGACGTGCACTTGACGACTGATGCACACCTCTGCCCCCCATTTGAGCTTTCATTAGAATTGTTAATGATAACCACAATATTCTATAGATGCAAAAAAATATTCTGACTTGATTGGAATCTTGATCAATCTAAATTGAGCCTAATTAGTTCTTTATTATATTTTAATGGCAGAGGAGATGACTGTTATTAAGACACAAAAATTTTACTAATTGAAATAATTTTTCTGCCTAGGATACACTATTTGCTTTTATCGGTCTTAGGAGATGGAGTCCAATTTCGATGAATTTTTTGTGTCTTTTTAGAGTATACAAACATGGGTATGAGAAAGTGACCCTAGAAGTAGATGGATGGCCCAGATGGAGGCTGGCACTTAGTAGCAAACGGATGGCACAGATAGATGACCGATAGATGGTGCTGGCGAGAGCTAAGACCAGGAAGTTAGCTCAAAGGATTAAGCTTTGCATGTGGGAGACCCAAGTTCAGTCCCTGTTACCACATGGTCCTCAAGCCCCTATGCAAGTGACCTCTGAGCACCTCTGGGGGTGACCTCTGAGCACCCCTGGGAGTGGCTTCCAAGCACCAAGCCAGGAATGGCCCCTGAGCACTGTGGGGTATGGATCCCCTCACTAATGTGAGCATTAAAGTAAATAACCAAAGGAAATGATCTCACAAAAAAACCCGCGCGTCTCCTAGTATTTTATTATTCTTAGAGGCTATCATCTCCAGATGCAATAATTCAAAGTAAATAAAAAAATTTAAGACTTCAAAAGTATGGAAAGTTTATATGACTATATGGTTATTTTTCCATGACACAATAAAATTCTATAAAATTCAATAAAAACGATGACATTTCAGAGTTTTCATCAAATTATGTCTATCAGTATGCTATAAAACATAAGAATTTAAAAATACATAGTTTATTTTACTTCAATTGATTTTTTTAAGTCACCTTTTATTCATATCTGAGATTGTTTCCATTGCATGTCATCCGATGTGGCAGGGCTGCACCATTTTGTTTGTAGGTACTTCATTTAACATTTCTAACCAACTCTGTGTCCCAAAGCAAAGAAACCTGGAAGTTCTTCCTTTTCCAGCCTGCCTCTTGATGATTAGCATTTGGAGGCAACCCACACGGTTTTATCTAGATGCTTATTTAACAAAACTATTTTAATAGGAAAAGTCAATACCTTGTTAAATAGTAAGAAAAACCTAACAATCTTTCTAGAATAAACATAGAAAAAGCATCTTCTAATTATTTTCTCAGCTTTTGGAGAGTTAATTTTTAGAAACAGAAATTCTAAATATGTCTAAATAAAATTTCTCATGCTTTTATTTGTTATCAATGAAAAGGTAGAATCTCTGTCTGCTAATAGATTAATAACTAATGTTTAAAAAGAAATCATCTGACATGAAACTAATTCTAAAACAATGACGTAAATGTTGTTTTCCCTTTCCTGGCTTGATGAGAATATTTGCTTCCTTTTATGAATGGCTTTTGGCTGTTTGGTTTTTTTTTTTTGTTTGGTTTTTTTAAATAAGTCATTAGGTCATTTTACTCTTTTTAATAAATTTGAATTAATGAATAAGCCATACATAGTCTTTTCCAATAAAGACGGATGCAAATAAATTATTTACCTGATGATTTTTAATGAGTGGAACAATATAAATAGTTGAGTGAATTATTTTTAGTAATATCTTTGATTTTCTGCTCTAAAGTATCTTCTGTGACAGTAAGGCCTACTTAATTGACGATTAATGCTTGTTTGATATCAATTATAAAAAATGATTTTTTGTTTTGCTTAATAAATCAAATGCTTGCTGAATTATCTGTGGAAGGGTTGAAAATAAAGCACCATTCATTTCAATGTTTTACCATATACAAAATGGCTAGTCTTTTTACATTATACATCTATCTTTATACTACAAGTAATTATTTTGCTGAAAAACTTTTATTATGTTTGAGGAACCTCAAACTAAATTTCTACTTTAAAACAATTATCATTTGGTGGTAGCATAAAGGATGTTGACATTTGTTGAGATATAAATTTCTGGCATAAAATAATCAAGATATAATTGTATTTTATTTTCCTAATCTATGGTTTGAAAATACATGTTATTTTCCTTCAGTAGTAATTTTACTGGCATCCATTTATATAAAGCAAAATAAAACAACATACTTCTCAAAAAACATAATTGCGATAAATTGATTTTCTAGTGCTTTTCCAAATATTTCAAACAATAACTGAGATAAATTATATTTGTGAAAACTTTTTATCTATTTTTGTATTTATTTAGACGCTGGTTTTCAATACAGAACAATCAGTTGGTTTACCAGAAAAAGTTTAAGGTAGGTCTTTTATTAAATAACTTCTTGAAAGCCCAGTGAGTCTCTTACTTGAGTTCTCCGTCTTGCTGTTAGAGTTTATAAATGCTCATATGTGCAAAGTTAGAGTTTAGTAATTTTATTTTTGCGCTCATTTAAGAGGACTTAGGAATGGAAAACATCATTATTTGGTCCTTGAATGCATAGTGCTTTCCAGGCCAAGGAGATCATACTTTGCTTACGGGAACCCTGGATTCTATTCTCAGCACCATGTGACCCCCGGGCACCCCTGGATTTTCCCCCTACCCCCGACAAAAAGAAGGACTCCACCCACGCATAACACACACCGAGATTTTGTGTTTTAAATTCTTTATTTTTTTTAACCCTGGCATTTGTCTTTTGCCAACATCCCCTCTACCCCCCCCCCCACCCCATGGCATGGTACTCAGTTCTGTTCCAGCACACTAGGACACCTGCCACACTGTGTAGCCTGGCATCCTCCATGCAGAGCTTGAGCTCTAACCTCTGAGCCATCTCCCTGGCCCCTTATGCCTTGAACCAGAGAGCCAAAGTTCCTGACTTTGAGATGCATTTCTTGTGTTCTCAGCTTCTTTTATTTCTTTTTCCCTTTGTCTAACTGTGTGAGAGGAATGACACTGTTATATTCTATAGTAATAATTTTGAGACTGAAAAGGGGGGATGCTTTTTTTTTTAAAAAAATAATGATTTCTTAAGCCTCTGTGATTTATCAAGTTAGTCATAGTTGAGGTTTAGGTAGACAGTGTTCCAGCATTGATCCCACCACCAGAATCCCCAACTGCCTCCTTGACAGGCACTTTGTGAAGTTTGGTTGTTGTAGTTTGGCTCTCTTGTGTTCAGTGTTGTTGGCTGTGGTCTGGCTCTACAGCCTTTGCCTCCTGCCCCCCACCCCACCCCAGTTACTTCCTGTCCATCTTCTTCTTGCTCCTCTCCTCTAGCTTATTTCCCTCTCCTTTACTCTGGGGTCAAGTTAAAGGGGGCTGTTTCTTTTTAAGAAATATTCCCTGTGGGTGGGAGACCTAGTACAGCGGGTGAGGCGGCCTGACCTGGGTAGAAACCGCTTATGGTCCCCAGAGCACAGAGCCAGGAGTAAGTAAGCCCTGAGTACTGCCAGACGTGACCCCCCAAAAGAAACAATAGAAATAATAGAAACCTCTAAGTTTGTTAAGTAAAGTAAAGTAAAGTAAAGGCCCTCCCGTTGATCGTCGATTTGCTCGAGCGGGCCCAGTAACGTCTCCATTGGAGACTTTGTTGTTACTGTGTCTGGCATATTGAATACATCACGGGTGGCTTGCCAGGCTCTGCCGTGCGGGCAAGATACTCTCGGTAGCTTGCCGGGCTCTCCGAGAGGGGTGGAGGAATCGAACTCGGGTCGGCCATGTGGGCCGCATGTAAGGCGAACGCCCTACCCGCTGTGCTATCGCTCCAGCCAAAACACTTGTTGCATTGGCCGGGAAACGAACCCGGGCCTCCCGCGTGGCAGGCGAGAATTCTACCACTGAACCACCAATGCTCAAGTTTGTTAATATGACTTATATACATTTGTCTTTCTGACCCCTCTATTATAAAAAGGTGAGGTTTTACTCCCTAGAACGGCATGTTGAGATTCCATGTGACTTAAGGGGCTGGAGAGAGAGCCAAAGGGCTGAGTCCTTGCTTCTTTGCGTGGGGAAGACCCAGTGTTGATACCCTGTGTGGCGTGGTCCCCTCCTCACCACCTGGAATGAGCCTCCAGCACCTCCAGCTCACACACAACTGTTAGAAAAAAGAACCGCTGGTCTGTTGGCCATGGTCTTTACTTAGCTTTTGTGATTGATATATCCAGTTGTATATTTTAGATGTTCACTTTACTCTTGAAATAATGGACCTTTTTTCCCCCCGACTACTCAGAAATGATTTTTAAGTATGTTCGTATTTAAAGTCTAGCTTGACAATACAAAAGAGAGTATGGGGGAGATTGTCTGCCATAGAGGCAGGGGGAGTGTACAAGGGGGGCGATACTGGGGACATTGGTGGTGGAAGATGTGCACTGGTGGAGAGTTGGGTGATGGATCATTGTATGACTGAAACAGGAAAGCTTTGTAACTGTATCTCACGGTGATTCAGTAAAAAAATAAAAAAATAAATAAAAAATAAAATAACATTCTGAATTTAAAAAAGTAGTGTGGAGTTCATGCCCAACTCAATCAGCTTAATCAATGACTGAATAAATAGCAGTACTCCTACGGTTTAAAAAAAATAAAAAGTCTAGGGGTTAGAGCAATAGTACAGCGGGTAGGGCGTTTGCCTTGCAAGCGGCTGACCCGGGTTCGATTCCCACCATCCCATGATCCCCCGAGCACCACCAGGAGTGATTCCTAAGTGCAGAGAGCCAGGCATCTCCGGGTGTGACCCAAAAAGCAAAACAAAAAGCCTAGCTTGATCTGTGTACATGGGCGTTTTGTGTCATGTTCCAGGACAACCCCACCGTGGTGGTGGAGGATCTCCGGCTCTGCACCGTGAAGCACTGTGAGGATGTCGAGCGGCGCTTTTGCTTTGAGGTCGTCTCGCCAACAAAGTGAGTGGTTCTGAAGAACTCTCGAGAGGAAGATGTGGGTTTCACCTTTGCTTATTTGTTCCTGTGAGGGAAAGGGTGTTTTTTTTTTTAATTTTTCTGGTTATTATTCCAGTATGGCTGTCAGTTACTTATGTAACTTTTATTCAGTATCATAGTCATATCATAATGTAAAAATGATGGATGTGGCCTTGTCCAAGCTGTCGTGGTGATGGACTAAAGCCACGTATCAGATCAGTTTCCTTGATCACTGTCACTTTACATTCCTCTTAATAGGAAAAGAAAACATTTATCTTTATGAGAGGAATGTCAAGTTTTGGTTTGGAAGGCACACCTGAGGAGGGACCATGTTTTTCCAATGATTGCACCGGGACCTCCTCCATGCAGTGCCTATGCTCGGTCCATTGAGCTCTCCTCTCTCCCCTAAAGTTTGTTTTTCCACAGATAACTTGCTTTCAGTAGGCAGTTACATTTTATTACTACCTTGATTTCTTGATGAAATACATCATTTGGAAAAATATTATTTTAATTATACCATTAGATTGAAAATATGAATTAAAATAACCATTATTGTTACCGATGTGTGTGTGTGTGTGTGTGTGTGTGTGTGTGTGATTACCTACAGTGAGCAGAGGCCCTATACTTGGAGATTTTGCTCCCAGTGAGTGCTCGAGGGGCCCACACGCAAGCAGGGACTCACCCAGTGATGTCTGGCTCTTTGGTTCATTATTATCCTTTTTTTTTTCTTTTTTTTTGGTTAATTGGTGTCTCAGAGAAGGCTGTTATTTTCTTTTAGAAGTTGTATGCTTCAAGCAGATTCTGAAAAGTTGCGCCAGGCCTGGATTAAGGCTGTTCAGACCAGTATCGCTACTGCTTATAGAGAGAAGGGAGATGAATCAGAGGTGAGTAACAGCCTTGAAGGCAGAAGAGTTTCACTTGGCTTACTCCGTTGTCTGCTTATAAAATTGTGCTTATGAAAAGAAAAAAAATTGTGCTTATGGAAAGGGTTTATTTCTTAGGAAATGGATTTTATTTTTAAAATATAGATTTAGTTTATCTTATTTATTTTGCTTTTGCCTGTAGTTTTATTGAAATAGTTGTATGTATGTTATATTAAATATTTGAATGAATTTTTTGGATTGACGTGTTTGGAAGCACATCAGGATACCTGATCTATTTTCCCCTCAAATGTTGTGTTATTGTAATTAACAAATATGAATAGTACACCATTAAAACTGGTGAATAAGGGGATGGGGAAAGGGAAAGCTAGATTTTCTTCTTGGAAATGTTATGCTTAATGTAGAATCTTGAGGAAGAGTCTGGCTTTCAGTTCACAAGAGTTTATAAACTATTTGAGCAAGATCATGAGTAAGTCTTGAGAAATGAAACAGTCATTTTCTCTGGGAGCTTCTGAAAGCAGGGAATTTATGAATTTATGTAATGTCTAAAAGTATCTATTGTCATGAATGTTTGATCATTCGGCTTGGTATTGAATTCTTTTATTGTGAACAATCCTTAAGAATTTGATTTAATTAACTATTTTTCTTTCTTTTGTTGTGGAGGTTGGGCACAATTGGTGATACCTGGGAACTATTCTGGACCCAGTGCTTGGGGACCCTGTAGTGCAAGATGTCAAACCCACATCTGTCGAACTATCTCCCTGCTCCTCCTTAAGAATTTATAATAGCCTTGCTATTCAAACGACCCGTTTTCTTGTTTTCTTTTTGTGAAATTTCTGGACTGGTCTTCTTTTTTTGTTGTTGGGTTTTACTTTTATTTTCTGGAAGACTTTTTCCTGGAAGATTAGCTGAAAAAAAAATTTTTTTTTTTCTAGGACAGGGCATTCCCCATTAGTTTTTGGGCCACCAGGAATTCACCAAGTGCTGCTCACCAGGCCACAGGATGCTGGGAACTGAACCAGGGCCGGATTAGCAGTTAGCTCCAGCCATTTTGGGGACTCTGGGCTAATCTTCTGAACCTCATTCCCACTTCATCTTCTGAGCCTTCTGTTGAATATTTCCATTTGGCTAGCACATATTTAATTGACAAGAGTTTCCTATTGTTTACTTTCTTTTTGTATAAACACAGAGTGTTTCTACATGTAAGCATGCTCTTTTTCCACAAGCACAGTGTTAGAGCTACACTTCTCAGCCTCGACTGCGCATTTTGTAATTCTGGGCGCTTAAAACAAATCCCAGTGCTGAGGTTGGTTTCTAGTACGGTTTCTGGTACAACTGAACGGCCTAGGTATCATTGGGACCTGGGTATTACTTTAAAAAGCTTCCCAGGATACAGTAGGTAAGGTGTTTGCCTTGCATGTGGCAGAGTCAGGTCTGGCCCCCAGCATCCCGCATGGTGCCCCGGGCCCACCAGGAGTGATTCCTGAGTGCAGAGCCAGGAATAAGCCCTGAGCGCTGCTGGATGCAAAAAAAAAAAAAAAAAACCCAAATTAAAATAATTTCCCCTCCCCACCAATAAAAAGCTTCCCAGGTACTTCTTCCTTGCTGGCAATGCTTAGAGCCATCATGCTAGAGGCTCTCTCTCTCTCTCTCTCTCTCTCTCTCCCCCCCCCCCCCCTTTGGTAATCTGTACCTGACAACAAAAAAAGAACTAAAAACCTCCATGAATACTCCAAGAACCTTGTGGGGAGACTGTCTTTGGGAGCTTTGCCACGTTTGGACCATTTATTGAAGAACCAGCAGAGTCAAAGCTTTAGCCAGCATGATTCTGCAAAGTAGACTCACCCACCTGTCTCATGCTTTTTGGGGTCAGGGAATGGCTGTGAGCTTACTTGCCGGGCATCTCAGTGTATATGTATATGTATAGTATATGCTCATTTACACCGGTATCCACCGCCTTTCAGGAAGATCCCGTCCCTCGACTCTGTACTTTTCCTCCCCAGGGACTAAAACATAACACACATCTGTTACCTTACCCTCTTACTGCCTCAGGTTTTGGCAACTCCCCCCACCAACCCAGGTGCCCTATCCATGCCATCTGGGTGGCCTCCCTCTGTCTTCTTACCCTGGATCCAGAAGCCTGCACAGGTCTCTCTCGTGTGAGGCCCTGAGCCTCACCCAGCTCAGTTCTTGCTCTTTATGATATCCTTACACTGCCTACTGGGCCTCACCTCGCCTCACCTCACCTCGCCTTACCTCATCTCACCTCATCTCACCTCACCTCACCTCACCTCACCTCCCCTCACCCCTGACTGCTAATTGAATTTTCAGGAAGGGCAAGGCAGAGGCCAAAATTAGATTTGTAAAGATTTTGTGCTATATTCCTGACTAAATCTGAAGGTTTGAGTGTTTTTGGTTGTTTGGTGAAGAAAGGCAGTTTTTATTGAAACTTATGGAGAAGGATATGAGGGAACAGAGAGAACAAATAGTGTGTGTTCAGGAGAGGACACAGGCTTTTTCAGAGTGGAAATAAGTAAGCAAAGAAACATAGAAAGCAAGGGAGATGCGTGTTCCTGGGAGAAGAGCAGGTGTTGAAGAGCATATGGTTTAAGTGTTTTTTTAACCGGAAATGTTTAAGACCTATCTTTACTTGCTTAGGGTTCCCCAGCTGCTTCTTTCTATTTGTTCATAAATTGATTGAGATTTTGCTGTACATGTAAACATCTTTTTGTTTATTTCCCACTTTGCTTTTATTCCTAGTTTTCTACTAGCCTCTGAGGTTTTAGCCCTTCTGTTGCTGATCCCCTCCGTAAGGGTGATCATAGAATTCTTTAGTAAAAGGCCAGACCAATTCCAGGTCCTCACTTGCATGAATTGAAACAGCTGGCTTGCATTTCATTGTATACCTTGGGAAAACTTGGTATCAAATTAGTTATTTTATTTTTGAGTTTTGGATTAATTAATCCCCCCCCCCAGTGATTTCCTCAGTTCACTGACCCTCAAATACTGTAGCTCTGAAGTCCCACTCAGCCAGGGTCTAATCCTGAAGTCGTGAGGGCTCTCTGGGCCTCATTCCCATCCACAGAGATGGGTTTCTTGATTCTTTTCATTCTTCCTATTTCCTTGGGAAGCTAAGGGTACAGCTCTGGGTACCAGACAACTGAGCAGCGATGCAGTGTTCCTGTGCAGTTACCAGGCTGGTTCTGTGACTCAGGAGATAGCTGGCAGCCACAGAAGTCTGTTGAGGAATTCTATTTGGCGGAGAGGAGTCACCCCTGGCAGTGCTCAAGGTTTACTCCCAGCTCTGCACTCAGGAAACTATATGGAATAATTGCCTAAATCCATTGGCCACGTGCAAAGCAAGCACCCTACCCACTGCACTATCGCCTTGACCCCTTCTGAGGGTTTCTTAAATGCGTGCAAGAACCGACTCGTGTGTGACTCTGACATGTGCACCTGAACCCCACAGGTGATGAGCAGCGCAGGCTCTAGCCCAGGCTCACAGGCGCTGGTCCCTGGACACTGACACAGGGTCACAGTTCATGGGCTTGGCCTCTGACTTCAGGCCATGGGACTGGCTGCTGTGAGAGGGGGGCGGACAGGGCTCACTCTGGGAGACAGCTGTTCCAATGGACACAGGGCCAGGCCTCCCCTGCTCCTACCAGACACAGCAAGTACAGCGGCAGAGGGAAAACAGGCACCTGATGTCCCGACTTGAAGATAAAGCCTGGTGTGCTGTGGCAGCTGGGTCACACAGGAGGGCCAAGGTTGTCACTGCAGGCGGGACTGTGGCTGTGGGCCTGCTGCCAGGATGGCTAAGGCTGCAGTTCCTCTGGGTGGGTCAAGGGCCTGACCAGCACCTCAGGGGGCGCTAACAAGAAAGATTGAGTGAAAAAATAGAACGTGTCCAAACAAAAATAAGCTGAGGAGTAGAGTAGCAGGACTTAGCAGAAAGGGAGAAGCCTAAAGGCAAATGAGAAACGTGGCAATGTCCGTAGAGCACAACGATGTGTTCCTTTGTGCCTCGAGAGTGAGAAGAGGGAAGGTGTGGGCTGACCTCTGAGACGGTAGATGCCCTAGGGTGAGCGTGCAGCTGCACTGGTGCAGGCACGGGAGAAGGCACAGGAAAGCAGTTTCTTAAAAATTTAAATGTATGTGATAATATATGGGCTCGAGTGATAGCCTAGGGCGTTTACCTTGCATGCAGCTGACCTGGGTTCGATTCCTCCGCCCCTTTCAGAGGGCCCGGCAAACTACTGAGAGTATCTCGCCTGCACGGCAAAGCCTGGCAAGCTACCTGTGACGTATTCAGTATGCCAAAAACAGTATCAACAAGCCTCCCAGTTTGTTGTGAGACACTACTGGTGCCCGCTTGAGCAAATCGATGAACAACAGGAGGACAGTGCAGTGCTACATTCTTGAGTTTTATAATCTTGTTTCTTCTTCCTTTGTCTCTCATTTTACGTGTTTAAGTAGTATCTCCTTGTCTTTGCCCTCCTGCTTGTACATAAGTTGTGTTTATTTATACATACACATATATGTTATGTATGTACATGTATATGCACACAATATAAATATGCATGATTTTTAAGGTTTTTAATAGTTTCTCTTCACTCACAAAACTAAAACCCAAAGGATGGAGGCAGCTTCATCGAGGATATTCTCGGTTCTGAGGATCATTGAACACTGACGGCTGTTCCAGGTTTAAGGCCTTGAACAGGGCCTGGCTTCCGTTCACAGTGGGCTCTCACTTCTTTAAGGAGAAGCTTGAGTTTGGTGCCTGTAGCATGCAGCATAGTATTACGACATTAAAAAAAAAATTTTTTTTTAATTCTTTTAGAAGCTGGATAAGAAGTCATCTCCATCCACAGGAAGCCTAGATTCTGGAAATGAGTCAAAAGACAAATTATTGAAAGGCGAAAGCGCACTGCAGCGAGTCCAGTGCATCCCTGGCAATGCCAGCTGCTGTGACTGTGGTCTGGCCGACCCGCGGTGGGCTAGCATCAACCTGGGCATCACCCTGTGCATTGAGTGCTCCGGGATTCATCGGTGGGTACCTGCGAGAGGGAAAGGCTGTGTTGGGATGAACTCTTGGCGTGAATTACTACGTGTCTGGGTTAGGACTTCGCTCCCTAAACTCTGGGCTGCAGCTGTGCAGCGTGGGGTTACCTAACTGAATGTGGCGGTTAGGAGAAATCTACAAATTTTGTTTTAAAGGAGGATACGGAGGTGGCGTAGAGATTAGCCAAGCACCGCCCAGCCCTTGTTGATTCCTCAGTGCCATGTAGCTGTGCGTAGCCAGAGATAGTCCTGGTGCCCATGAGCGCTGAGCCACCATGGGGCTGGGTGCAGCATCTCAGCGGACCAGCTCTCAGCCTCACTCCCAGTCTTCTGAGTATCATTTGAGGTAGCTCTGGGCCCCTGAGTATTGCTTGGGAGCCCCATCCACCCCCCACCACACATACACACACACACACACACACACACACACACTTTGCTGTTGACATAAAATAGATTTCCTTATGATTTATTATCAGCAAGTGTTTTTTGTTTTGAGCACCTCTCTATATTTCTGCATACCTAGGGTTACCTGAAAGTTTCCTGGGCAAAAAGGGGTCCCAGTAGAAAGAGTTTAAGAAGCCCTGGGTTAGAGGATCTTACCCACTTGCCTGGTTAAACTGCCAGTTTGTAAGTTGGTTTTTTTTTTTTTTGTAGTGTTGAAATTCTGGTTTTGTAAAGCACTTTAATTATTTGGGGTTGGGGGGGCCACTCCCAGCTATGCTCAGGCCTTACTCCTGGCTGTGTGCTCAAGAACCACTCCTGGTGGTGCTTGGGGGACCTTATTGGGTGCCAGGGATTGAACCCAGGTTGCCTATGTATAAGGCACGTGTCCTACCCGCTATATTGTCTCTCTAGCTCCCTGTAAACTATTTTAGAGTTACAGCACTCATTAACCAGAACATAGGTCCCTATTTACAGGTATATTTGAAAGCTATATTAGGTACTAAATTCGTTATATTAAGAGAAAAATGACTTGTATCAGTATACATGGAATATATAAGTACCAATAGAACAGTTACTTTATAGTTCTATCTATTAATGTAACCCTTTTTTTCCTCTGCTTAGGAGTCTTGGAGTTCATTTTTCCAAAGTGCGGTCATTAACTTTAGACACCTGGGAGCCAGAACTGCTAAAGGTAAATTAAATAATGGTTTCAAAATACTTTATATTTCCACAGCAAAGTTAGGGTTTTATGTACTTGGTTTACAAATGTGTGAGTTGTTCAGTGCTCACAGTGAACTAAAGTGATTTGATACATATCTAAGGGTGATGCTTTCAAAATTGCTAAGTTTGTGTAGCCCTCTCACTTTTTGGGGGGCGGGGGACACGGTGGTTGGGTCATACCTAGTGGCACCCAGAGTCTATTCCCAGCTTGGTGCCTGGGGATTGCTCCCTCCAGTTATCAGGGGACCCTGTGATCTGTGGATTGAACCCCCCCTTCACATGCAAGGTATGATCAGCCCCGTGAACTTTCTCAGTGGTCCCTAAATCAGTTGACTTTATAAGGAAATTAGTGTTCCTAAATTCTTATGTTTTCTGCAGTATTTTAGGTTCTGTTCCTTAAATTAATCTCTTCTGATTATATTGATGTTTGCTAAAAAATGAGTCCTATAGTAAGCCTCACAATGATTGGCCTAGCATGCGGCTATGTGGAATATTCTAGCATTGCACATTTACTCTTGTCTGGAAAGCAGTTACCAAGTTAAGACTTCCCCTACTACATCCATAAAAGGATCCATGTCCATAAAAATTAGAATTAGATCACAGCTAGATTTCTAATAAGATTCATAAAATTCATAACAATGAACAATATGCTGTCTTTAATTCTCACCATTTCATTAACATGTTGTAAAAAATGCATTTACTAAAGTTTGTACTGTATTCTATATTTGTTTCTGTATGGAGTATAATGGAGTATGTTCTAATGTGTTTATGTTTTTTTAAAGCCTTTATTTTATATTTATTTATTTTTTAGTAGTGAGGCACCATGAGGTACAGTTGTAGACTTACACATTTTTGTGCTTGGGTTTCGATTATACAATGATCAAACACCCATCCCTCCACCAGTGCACATTTCCCACCACCTCGGATCCCAGCATCCCCTCCCCCCCAGCCCCTATCCCACCCTGCCTCTGTGGCAGGGCATTTCCCTCTCTCTCCTTTTGAGTGCCATGGTTGGCAAAAGAGGCACTGAGTGGCAATCATGCTTGGTCGACAGTCTACCCTCAGCATGCTCTCCCATCATGGGCGGATCCTCCCAACACCCTTTATTTGGTGTTCCCTTCTCTTTCTGAGCTCCCCCTTTCCCTGACATGTGTGGTTGTCCTCCGGGTCATTGAGTAAAATTCCTGGTACTAATCTCTGCTATACTTGGGTGTTAGTTTCCTATTTTGTTACCTTATGTTCCCCAGATGAATGCAATCTTTTTATGTCTATCCCTTTCTTTCTGAGTCATTTCACTTAACATGATACTTTCCATGTAGTACCACTTGTATGTAAACTTCATGACTTCGTCTTTTCTAACAACTACATAGTACTCCATTGTGTAAATGTGCCAGAGTTTCTTCAACCAGTCATCTGTTCTCGGGCACTCAGGTTTTTTCCAGATTCTGGCTATTGTAAAGAGTGCTCCAATAAACAGACAATTGCAGATGTCACTTCGGCTATAGTTTTTTGCCTCTCTGGGATATATTCCCAGGAGTGGTATTGCTGGGTCAAATGGGAGCACAATTTCTAGTTTTTTGAGAATCATCCATACTGTTTTCCAGAAGGGCTGAACCAGTCGGCATTCCCACCAACAGTGAAGGAGTGTCCCTTTCTCACCACATCCGCGCCAGCACCGGTTGCTTTTGTTCTTGTGGATCTGGGCCTGTCTCTGTGGTGTGAGGTGATACCTCATTGTGGTTTTGATCTGCATCTCCCTGATGATTAATGATGTGGAACATTTTCTCATGTGTCTTTTAGCCTTTCGGATTTCTTCTTTGTCAAAGTTTCTATTCATTTCATCTCCCCATTTTTTGATGGGGTTGAATGTTTTCTTTTTGTGGAGTTGAACCAGTATTTTGTATATCCTTGAAATTAACCCCTTATCAGATGTGTAGTTGGTGAATATCCTTTCCCATTCAGTTGACTGTCTTTGTATTTTAGTCACTGTTTCTTTTGAGGTGCAGAAGCTTCTTAGTTTAAGATAGTCCCATTTATCTATCTCTGTTTTCACTTGATTGGCCAGCGGTGTGACATCTTTGAAGACACTATTAGCTTCTATGTCATGAAGGATTTTGCCAACATTTTCCTCAATGTATCTTATAGATTCCGTTCTGATGTTGAGGTCTTTAATCCACTTAGATCTTACTTTTGTACATGGAGTTAGGCAGAGATCTGAGCCCATTTTTTTGCATATAGCTGTCCAGTTTTGCCAGCATAATTTGTTAAAGAGGCTTTCCCTGCTCCACTTCACTTTTCTTGCCCCCTTATTGAAGATTAGATGCTCGTATACTTGGGGGGGGGGGGGGGAGGGACGTCAGTATATTCAACCCTGTTCCATTGGTCTACAGCTCTGCCTTTGTTCCAGTACCGTGCTGTTTTAATTATTACTGCCTTGTAGTAGAGTTTGAAGTTAGGGAGGTTGATTCCTCCCATTTTCTTTTTCCCAAGAATTGCTTTAGCTATTCGTGGGGGCTTATTGTTCCATATGAATTTCAGGAGTGTTTGCTCCAATTCTTTGAAGAATGTCATGGGTATCCTAATAGGGATTGCGTTGAATTTATACAGTGCAAAGCCTTTTTTTTTTTAATGGAGTCACTGTGAGATATACCATTAGAAAGCTGTTCATGATCAGGTTTCAGTCATACAATGATCCAGCACCCATCCGTCTACCAATGTCCATTTCCTACCACCAATGACCCGAGTTTCCCTCCCGCCACCCCTTCCCTCCCTTTCTTGATCACTCTCCCTCTTTCCCCCCTCACTCTCCCTTTCTTTGCTTCTTTTTCCCTCCCTCCCTCCTTCCTTCCCTCCCTCCCTCCCTGCCTCCCTCCCTCCCTCCCTTCCTCCTTCTGGGAACTATGGTCTGCAACACAGATACTGATCGGTTATCATCCTTGTTCTTTTACCTACTTTCAGCACACAGTTCCTATTCAGAGCAATCGTTTCCAACTGTCTTTGTCATAATGGTCTCTTCTCTATCCCAATTGCCGTCTCCCCCAGCATTTGAGGCAAATGAGTTAGAAGGAGAACAGACATAGAATGATTGCACTCATTCATGGAATATAAAAAAAACATAATAGCACAGCGGGTAAGCGTTTGCATGCAGACAACATGGCCAACCCGAGTTCGATTCCTCCACCCTTCTCAGAGAGCCCGCAAGCTACCGAGAGTATCTCGCCTGCACAGCAGAGCTTGGCAAGCTTCCAGTGACGTATTCAGTATGCCAAACACAGTAACAAGTCTCATGATGGAGATGTTACTGGGCCTGCTTGAGCAAATTGATAATATGAAACTAATATCCAAGGTCAGTAGAAACAAGGGCAAGGAGGATTAGTTTGAGGTTGGAAGTGTTTGTGTTTTATTTCAATCACCAGGTAAACTGGTGATTCTCAGTTATATAAGGTTAAACATCATATATTTTGTTAAGTTGACTCCTAATGTAGAATGCTGTTTAGATTTGTTAGTTGTTATGAATTTTAAGGAGGAGGTGTGGAAGATGAGGGGTGAAAATTAATTCTGTGTCAACATTTTGTATTGTTATGTACCCAATAGGGTTTTTTTTTGTTATTGTTGTTGTTTTTTTGCTTTTTGGATAGCACAGTGGTAGGGCGTTTGCCTTGCAAGCCGCCAGCCTGGCCGAGCCAGGTTCAATTCCTTCACCCCTCTCGGAGAGCCTGGCAAGCTAACAAGAGTATCTCGTCTGCACGGCAAAGCCTGGCAAGCTACCCGTGACTTATTCTATATGCCAAACATAGTAACAACAAGTCTCACAGTAGAGATGTTACTGGGCCCGCTCAAGCAAATTGATGAACAACAGGAGGACAGTGCTACAGTGCTTGCTTTTTGGGTCACACCCAGAGATGCACAGGAGTTACTCCTGGCTCATGCACTCAGGAATTACTCCTGGAGGTGCTCAGGGAACCGTATGGGATGCTGGGAATCGAATTCAGGTCTGTTGCGTGCAAGGCAAATGACCTACCCCCTGTACTATCGCTCCAGCCCCTGTACCCAATAGGTTTAATAGAAATTTTGATTGAAATTTTATTTTTATCAGACAGCATTCCTGTGTGCCATGGTAAAGGGAACATGATGCTGGCATGTGGATTGGTGATAGAGCACTTGCACATGTGAACCCTCGGTTTGATTTCTGGTGCTGCACCCCTCCCCTCTTTCTCCCCCTCAAAAAAAGAAAAGAAATATGACTGAAGCTTATAACGAAAATATTTTGAAGTATTCATGTATCAGGATAAGGAGACAATCACTTGCTTTGGTTCTGGATTATCTGAAACTTCACCTCCATGACCTAAAGCAGCTTCTTTTCCTTTTTATGGTTCATTTACTAGGGTCTCAGAAACACTCAGTAGTGTTGTGCCAGCTATAAAGTAGGAATAGAAAAGTAGTAGAAGGTGTGGGGTGGCGATGCCTTCTCCTTGGTGGTCATTTTCTAGGGTAGAGTGATGACACAGTAAGGGTTCCAGCCCTCTTCTCATTTTGCTCTCGATTTCTATGCCAGGTGTCAGTTGAAGAACATGCAAGGAACTCGCTAGCCTTGCATGAAGGACTTTAAAAACAGTATTTTTAGGAACTAATAACTTACCTTTCTTTTTTGTCTTTCAAATAGCTTATGTGTGAGTTGGGAAATGATGTTATAAATCGAGTTTATGAAGCTAAAGTGGAAAAGATGGGAATAAGGAAACCACAACCAGGACAAAGGTATTTCAGTTGCTTTTTTTCTACCTCATCTGGAGTATAACCGGCATTTTATTTCTTAGTGATTTGTATGTAAGACTTTAAGAAAATTCATTGTTGCTCCTGTTAAAATGTGGCTCTTTCTTGGATATATTACATAATTATGTTTTATTGGGTAGATAATCAGTTATAGACTCCAGATGGCAGAATCTTGAAGGGTAAGACCCCACCGAAAACTGTAAAAAGCTGTAGCAGTTCAATTAAATCAGAGAATCATCTGTTCATTGGTGTCCCCAGAGATCAGCTTTCTTCTACCTAAGTAAATAGTTTTACATTATTTAACTTGGCTCAGCAGTTGTTTGTTAATCACTTTTGACATTATGATGGTGAGGAATGAGAGGTGGAAAGGGAACTTCTAGTGTGGGAATACGCCTATGGCCGTGTTTGAAATTATCCTTTCCATACATGAATTTTCCATACATAAAGCTTATTAGTAGAACACTGGCTAAGATTGCCTTCAAGGTACATTGTTCATTTTTGGTGTGTGTTTTTTCAGTCTTCATGATATTTTATTTTTAGCATTTAATTTATACCACTCATACTCTTAGGTTAGATTTTATGTTAGACTGAAAATTATGTATAATCTCTACTACTTTAAAGTTATTGCTGTTTAAAGCGGGCTGGAGTGATAGCACAGCGGTAGAGTGTTTGCCTTGCGCTCAGCCAGCCCCGCCAAGCCGGATTCGATTCCTCCGCCCCTCTCGGAGAGCCTGGCAAGCTACTGAGAGTATCTCGCCAGCACGGCAAAGCCTGGCAAGCTCCCTGTGATGTATTCAATATGTCAAACACAGTAACAACAAGTCTCACAATGGAGACATTACTGGGCCTGCTCGAACAAATCGATGAACAACGGAAGAACTGTGACCATGACCGCTGTTTAAAGTAGTCTCACTTAAACCAGATTCTTACTTTTTGCTAACAACGCGAGGTACTTTTATTTCAAATCTTGAAGTATCCTTTTGATTTAGCCAAAGAACTCAGCATTTTAAAAAAATTATTTAAGAAAAGATAAAGATCTGATCTGACATTTTATTATTGTATCATAAATCCAAAGCATAAAATGTGACATCTTTTCCTATGCCCCCCATCCCAGTTGAGTTGGGATATTCTGTTGTTCTAACGTGATTATCTTATGAAAATTCATGGCTGTCAACAGTGATAATTCAGTCACAATATTCTTTTTTGGAGTAAGTAAAATTAAAGTGAGTTCTATAGATTTATATGGGTTTCTTGGTGTAGTCTTTCACTCATAAAGCACAAGGGGAAAATATATATATATATATATATATATACATATATATATAATGAAACATTGAGCTGTGTGTCTCACTTACGATTTTTTTTCAGTTGATTATTTGACTTAAATATGAAATCACAGTTCATTAAGTATTTGGAAGGAGAACTTTTTGCATAACGTTCCCAATTCAGTGTGAACTAGAACCACATTTTGTGAATTTCTTGCATGCATTGATAATAAATGATTTCTGTTTGAGTATTAGCAATGCCAAGTAAATAAGTCCAGCATTATGACATTTTTATGTGAACCAGGCAGGAGAAAGAGGCATATATCAAAGCAAAATATGTTGAGAGAAAATTTGTGGACGAATATTTGCTGTCATCATCACCTCCTGAGCAGGAGAAAAAGGTTGTGTCCCAGAGCTGTGAAGAAAACAGACTGAACGTTTCCAGACTTGGGCCCGAGGACCACCTCAGAGCATCTTCCCTCAGCTCAGGTAGTGTAGCTTATTTGTTGTATACGGCAATATTTTTGTAAGCTAATGTCACCTAAAATCTAAATCAGTAGTTATCGTAGGTGTTATTAATACTGAAAACCTGGTTTTTGTCTGTATTTTCTAGGGCAAAGGCTTATGTCTAATTTTAAAAGAAAGGTTTAAAAATTGGCTTGGTAATTCACATTTCTAGGTAATGTGTACATTCTAAGGAATAAAACCTCTTAAAATGCAAGGGGAAAGGGGAATTTGAAATCTATCATGCCGTAAAGCCCTAAGTATCTGATTAACATCCTAATAGCCTTCCCATTATTTTCCTTCTAAATTTTTCCCAGTAATGTTTTTTTTCCTGCCCTTTTCCCTTCTTACGGCCTGCTTTGTGCTTTGCTAACTTGCATGTCCCCAGTGGTTGCTGTAAATAGCGACGAGGCCAGGCGGGAGTCTCTGTTCTGTCCTGATGAGCTAGATTCACTCTTCTCCTACTTTGATACCTCTTCAAAACTCCGTAGTAGTAAGTACTACTCTTGTGCAGCATTCCGAGTCCGTGCCAGTAGTCATTGTGCGGTGTGGCCATTTCTCTAGATGTTGCCCATTGTCTCAGAATGACACACTACTGAACAATCATACATTGACGGTAGCCCTTCGCTACCTCTGACACATTACGGGAGTAATGAAATGTGTTGCAACTCTGAAAATAAGTTAATTTTCAGACATTGTGATTCACATTTTCATAAACTGTGTTTGAAATGATTTCAATTGCATTAAATGTATTCTGATTGTGGTGACTGCGTTCACATTAATCAATCAAAGATCATTTAAACAAAATGATTGTTTGTGGGAGATTGTACTCTAAATGGCATGAACTTTAATCAACTAGCTGATTTTCCTTTAACGCAGTCAAAAGTAATGACAGTGGAATCCAGCAGAGTTCTGATGATGGAAGAGAATCTTTACCCTCCACAGTGTCAGCCAACAGTTTATATGAGCCCGGTGAGTTTGGGCAGTAGTCAAAGCCAGTTGGCAGTAGCTTGCTGAAGCATGCACCTTGTAGATGGCTAGTCTTGAGTAGATTCTTAAAGAAAAGTGCCTGGTGATATATTTTAAAAGTGCCTTTCCGATAGCTCAGGAGAAGTTTTGATCTTCTACATCTTAATCTTTTGTCTTTGCATATGGCTGTCTTACATGCAAAGAGAAGAGACGAGCAGCCGCCTCCCTTCAGAGATTTTTCTTCTGACCTGTGCTTTACTTCATATTTCATTACTTCCGTGATTTTGGTCTGTTGGAGGACTGAGGGGAGCAAACCGTCGTCAGATTTCGTGAACTGTTTTGTTTCTTTCGTCGTTTTGTTTATTTAAATTTTGGGGTTTGGTTTTGGGGCCACTCCTAGCAGTGGGGGGAACCTTCTGGGGTACTGGGGATCAAACCCAGGTCTGCCGTGTGCAAAGCAAGACTCCTGGTCACTGTGCTCTGTCACGATAGTTAAAGAGCACAGGTTCTCACTGCTCCAAGTTCTCACACTGCGCCCAGCCGCATGGCGCCAGTAACTCTGCCACAGTGCACGGCCCCCGCCCTCTGCTCACTCCCTCTCTGCTGCTCTGCTCACCTGGGTTCTGGAATCAGAATCCAAGAGTTTGTTTTGTTTTGTTGGTTTATTGTTTATTGTCTTTTGCTACTCTTGGTTTGTGCTTGGAGGTAGCTCCTGGCTACTCTGTTTCTTATTACATATGACTAAAATCATCCGATTTTTTTTTCTCCGGTGGACTTATTTTGTTTAGTATTAGTATAATTCCCTCCTAGATTGTTCTTGTTGAAAATGTAAAGAATTTGTTTTTGTTTTTTAATCACTGAGCAGTATTCCATTATGTACCGTATTTTGTTTATGCCGAACGCTTAGGTTGTGTCTGTGTTTGGTCAACGTACATATTGTTGCAGTGAACATTAAAAAAAAAATCCTTTTTGCTCCTGAATTACCTAGAGCTTATTTTTAATCATGATATTTGTGTTTGTTTTTCAGAGGGAGAAAGGCAAGATTCTTCTGTATATCTCGACGCTAAGCATCTTAACCCAGGACTTCAACTTTACAGGGCTTCATATGAAAAAAATCTCCCTAAAATGGCCGAGGCTTTGGCTCACGGTGCAGATGTGAACTGGGCTAATTTAGAAGAGAACAAAGCAACACCACTTATTCAAGCTGTATTAGGGGTAGGAATTTGTTCATTCCATGGTAGTAAAATATGAAAAAAATTAAAATAGAGTCAGAACATAACTTTAGAATTACTTCTTTAAGAGATAGGTTGGACAATAGAAGAAATGCATAGTAATTTCTGAATACCACTTTAATTTTTTTAAACTCAAACAAATTTTTAAGAATTACTAATTTTTTTTTTTTTTTGGTTTGAAGTACCAGGGATTGAACCCAGGGTTCACACATGTGATGCATGCACTCTGCCCGTGAAACCCTCCTTATTTTTTTTTCCACTGAAAGAAAGTTTTGGTAGTTTTTGGTAAATTAGTTTTGGGGGGAGGGGTAATTAAAAGAAGTATATTTTTCTAGGTCAGAAACTGATTTTTTTTTTTTGGCAGGGTGGAGGTCATACCCAACAATGTTCAGGGGCTACTCCTGGCTCTGTACTCAGGAATTGCTCTTGGTAGTGCTTGGGGGACCACAAACAAATTTTTAAGAATTATTAATTTTTTTTTGGTTTGTGGTACCAGGGATTCAACCCAGGGTTCACACGTGTGACGTATGCACTCTGCCCCTGAAGCTCTCCTCATTTTTTTTCCCACTGAAAGAAAATTTTAATAATTTTTAACTGAATTTTTTTTTTCTTTTTGGATCATACCCAGCAATGCTCAGGGGTTACTCCTGGCTCTGTACTTAGGATTTACTCCTGGCAGGGCTCAGGGGACCATATGGGGTGCCGGGAATTGAACTTGGGTCGGCCGCGTGCAAGGCAAATGCCCTTCCCTCTGAGAAACTAAAAATTTCTACTAATGCCTATTAATAGTTCTTAGAAAGAAAATAGTTTCATTTCTGTGCTTTTGCTGGGAGATATTTCCTCTTGTTGTTGTTCCTTATTAGTTTTGTTTTTCTTGACTCCTGAGCAGTGCTCACAGGCTTCTCCTGGCTTGGGTGTTGACTTGATGCCCAGGGGTTGCGCCTGGCAAGGCTCAGGGGAGCATGTCCCAGGGTTCAAACCCGGACCTTCTTCAGGTGAAGTTTGTTCCAGCCTGTTGCTGGCTCTTTTTATGGCCTCTTTTGAGGAGAATGAAATAGACTATAAAATACTGTGTTTTGGAGATAAATATGTTGCCATTTGCACTCTGTTCACTGCTCCCTTCTTTCTTCTCTCAGGGCTCTTTGGTGACCTGCGAGTTTCTGCTCCAGAATGGTGCTAATGTTAACCAAAGAGATGTCCAAGGCCGGGGACCCTTGCATCACGCCACTGTCCTTGGGCATACAGGGTAATCGAGAATTCCCATATCTTTAAGTAGCTTTTATTGAAACAATTATTTTGTGGCAGTGTTTTCCCTTTTTCTCAGGTGAAGGCTATCAGGTGAAGTTTGTAAAATGATACTTGGTATTACAGCATCCTAAGGGAATCTGAAATTTAAGAAGTCCCTTTTAGGGAACTTAGGGTTTTCAGACATTTGTAAAACCTATTTCACATTCCATTTATCATTTATGTAGACATTTTAATCTTTCAAGCTGTGGCTGAAGTTGTGATTTCTTATCAGATCACTTAAGTCAGTGTATATTTTATGCACTTAACATTCTCCCAAAAAGCATGGCAATGGGAAGTTTTAGTTTTTCCATAGGCTAGCTGAAGTCAAATTCAGAATTAAGTTCTTAGTGTGTGAGTGTGTGCTGTTAACTTTGGAGCTTCTGGAGTAGTATTTAGAGGTATAGAAAAATAAAGCCAAGGAAACAAACTTTCTGTTAGAAGACTCAAATGAAGTAAAAAAGTTGGTCTATGTGAAAAGTTTGTTTCAAGTTGGTTTTTAACAACAGATCTTAATACGTCCGTTTTATATTTTCTTTTTAATTGAGGTGACATTGGTTTAGAACTGTGTAAATTGCAGGAGAGCAGTTTCACACCTGGACAAATGTATATATCACACCATTCCCACCACGGTACATCTTGTTACTCTCTGCCCTCATCCACTTGTCTTTGGCTACCCTTTCTATCCTGTCCCCTTTACCCACCCGCTCCCCTCTGCCACCACCCCATTCTGTTGTCAGAATGTAAGATATCTAATGCTTATTTATTGCTTTAACAGCAGGAACGGTTCTTTTTCTTAAAAAAAAAAATCACTGTAGCGTCTTCTATTCTTATCATAACTGCCTTCTAGTAATATGGGAAGGGCCACCAGGGCTATATTTGGTGGGACTTGGGTTCCATGCAATGCTGGGGATTGCTCAGGTCACCCTGGGGGGCATCTGAATCCATCTGGCGATGTTCAGGGCTGCACATGGTGATACTCAGGGGACCATGTGGTGCTGGGGATTTACTGGTTGGCAGCATATAAGGCATGCAGCTTAACCCCTGTACTGCTTTTCTGTTTTTTTCTTAAGGATAATTGTTCCCATAGTACTTCATTTTGGGGTCAGTTTCTTTGAGTTGTGAATATTAATACAATGGATTACTCTCTGCTCTTTTGCTTATTTATTTGTAACAAATACTGTTGTTGCTCTATCATGATATTACGATTATTTTGGTTTCTTCCTTTCTCTTGAGTGATTTTTAAAATTTTAAGTTTATCAGGGTCAGAGTGATAGTACAGTGGGTAAGATATTTGCCTTGCTGGATCCAATTTCCAACACCCCATATGGTCCTCAGAGCTTGCCAGGAGTGATTCCTGAGCACAGAACCAGGAGTAACCACTGAGCATTGCCAGGTGTGGCCCCCAAACAAATAAATTAAACTTATATCTATATATCCTTTTATGATATGCTTTGAGGATAGAAAACATAATTTATATATCTCACTGTGCCATATAGTATCAAATTAAATATAAAAATACCTTGAGATGTATAAAGTGCTGCTCTTGGTAAATTCGTATTATCAGATTACGTATTCAATAAATATAAGTAGATGAAATCAAGAATCACCCTATGAAGGGTTTCTTTAAAGTCTAAGACTGCTTTTTTAATCTTTATTAAGGTGGATACAAATTACTTGTTTTCTTGACACTGTCTCAAAATGCTGTGTCCTTAAACAGGCAGGTGTGTTTATTCTTGAAACGAGGTGCCAATCAACATGCCACTGATGAAGAAGGAAAAGACCCTTTAAGTATCGCCGTGGAAGCCGCCAATGCTGATATAGTGACATTGTGAGTGTTTTCACTGGGTTATTTCCCACACAAGGAGAGAGTTTCAGGTACAGATGTAACTCTCAGTCTTGGCTACAGGCTGTGTGCTGTGTGCTTCATCAAGTCCCCACACAGCTTCCTTGGCAGGTGCAGTTAAGCTGCCTCACAGCAAGGATTCTGTGGCTTCTAGAGGAGATGTGTCCTTAGTAGCCGTCTTTTATTGTCTTCTCTGATGCAAGCTGCATGAGGAAATAACACTCATTTGAAAATTTATTTTGGCTTGGGGACCACACCTGGTGGTGCTTGGGTATTAGAGGGAACCACTCATATCCATGCTTGGGAGGTTGTGAAGTTCTAAGAACTGAATCCGAGCCTCTTGCATGCAAAGCATGCTCTCTCCAGCCCCAAATATTTTCACTTTAAAGAATCTTTAACCTTCTATTACTGGGTCTGATAAAAGCTCCTTGATCTTTGAGACAAATATTGGTAAAAAAGCAGACAAAAATGAACATTAGTACATGTTTTCATTGCTTGTGAGACTCATTGTATAGGCTGTTTACATTGTATAACAGAGCCCTAAGAATCCTCTTATTTGATTTCAGGTTACGTTTAGCAAGAATGAATGAAGAGATGCGGGAATCAGAAGGACTTTATGGACAGCCAGGTCAATATTCCACTAATAACCACACTGAAATGCAGTATAAAAAATGCATTCAGGAATTTATCAGTTTACAATTGGAAGATTCATAGTTCCTTAGCAAATTAACTTCATACTATAGAGTTTTTATAACTTGTACATTGTGAGTTGTTAGGTATGTAGTATCTATTGGGAGTCATTAACTCTCTCAGCCTTTAAAAATCTATAACTATGCCTATTACAGTGCACACTTACTTGCTGTATTTCATCCTGCCGACTTCTTTATCTGCTATAGAGATGTCTTCCAGATACATTCCAGTGAAGTGGATGGAATGATAATGTATCTTTATATACCTAGCGCAGCACAACCTTCTTTTTCTTTTGGGGATTCTTTTTAGCTCTCCAGCGAATAGAATGATATTGTTTTCTTTTTTGTTATTCAGGGAATTTCTATAAATTGTGTTCAGGGAGAAAACAAAATCATCATGTGTTTGGCATATATATAAAAAAAAGTCAGTATGAAAAATATCTGGAAAACGTTGATTGAATGAAGAGTTTTGTGCACTGATCTAAAAAAAATGAGTTAAAGGTTTAAAAAATAAAAGTGACCCATAGGTAAAAGAAGTCCATAATGGGGACTGAGTTAGTTTTGAAGGTTACGGGAAAGGGCTTCTTTTATCTTGTTTGGTTCCAAGCAATTTAAAATTATCTGTTGGGTAAATGGAAATATTATAACTATATTTTGTCAACCTGATGGCAGAGTAGGCTTATTCTTATTAGAGAAATTAACTCAGGAGACTCTCAAGTCTCATCTTGAGTGATATACACCTTTGAGTCAAGATGTCATTCGAAAAGGGAGAAATGTTGCCAATCATCTCTGTGATAAACATATTTTAATTAGACATTCTTCCAAAAGAATAGATTAATTATTGGTTCTCTAGTTTCATGGATTTGTGTATGTGACTTATTTAACGGTCTTAAATTCACATACAGATTAATGAAAAAAAATTAGGCGTTCATGACTAAAATGCATGAGAATTTTCAGGTTGCAATAATTTTAAGAGGTTTTTAATTAATATGTCAAAGTGGCTTGGTAATACCTATTCTTCTGTTTAAATATTTTTTTGAAATTTCTGTTCTCTATGCTGCCTTCAGCCATTTACTTTAAATAAGTATTATAAACATGGGGCCATTATTTTCTCAAAGGACTGTATAATTATATATTTTTTGTCTAATTTATTTGGGAAGAACAAGTAAGAACTTTGAGAATAGTGACACTTCAGCTAGATCCTTCTAATCTAGGGTGTCCCTCCTTAATCCTATGGATCATACAGTGTTATTGACGTCACGCTAGACCACGCAGTCAGAGTACTGAGTCAAGGTGAAATCTCAGCATTCATTCTGAATTTCACCCGTTCATTTTAAACTTGAATGTTAGATTTTAAATACGTTATAATTTTGTAACAGATATATTTAAGTGATAGTATTACTGGGCCATTTTTGAGGCCTTTGTGTTTAAGCACTTTAAAAAAAAATCATTTAAAGGCTATGACCTGATATTGTGAGATGCGAGGGAACGTCAAGGTTTTAAGTTCAACAACTTTCCTCCGCCTGCCCGCTGCCCCTTAAAATGTGGGTGTTTGGTCAGCTCCTCTTTCCTTAAGGCGTTTGCTAATGCAGTTTCGCCAGCTGATGGCAGGAGGCCAGTGGTCGGCTTCTCTCTGGGGTAGGGAAGCCTGCAAGGACAGCCCCAGCGTTCTTGCTCTGTAGCCTTTCGTTTCTCCCAGCTGCTGGCGCTGCTTCTGCCACCCTCCAGGGACACCCAGTTACCTCTGTCACTGTTGTTTTCTGTCGAAGTGTATGAGCATCCCCCTTCTGCTCTTCAGCAGACAGGTACATTTTTTCCCACTTCATTTGGATGAAAATTTGGGGGGGGGGGGGAAAGGCCCAATTTTTAAAGGAGAATTTGGCTTATTTGGCAGTCATCGTGCTCATCATTAGGTGTCTAACTCACTGAGAACCACTCATATTTAAAGTGGGGTCATTTCATGCTTATCCAGGTAACACGGTGAGCTGGTGCGGGAGTTGCTCTCTCTCTGCCTGCGACTTCTCTGCATCTTTGGAGAGTAGATATGTTTGCGGAGGAAGCAGGTCTTTCCCTGCGAATCACTGTCACTTTTTCTCCCATAGACTTTGTGGTGATTGTTTGAGGTAAATGTTTTTTTCTCCCCCTAGCAGCAAAAAGAAAACCTGAGAATTGGGGGTGATTTTTAAATGCTAGTCTTCTCAGTCTTTTGATAAAGAAGAACCCTGCCATTTAAAAGACTTAGAATCTTTGGCAGTGAATGACCGTTTTCTCAGAAACCCCACTTTAAACGTTATCTCACTAAAGACCTGAGATGTTCTCTTCACCCCACCCTTTCTTTTTTTTTCTTTTAAATTTTGGCGAGGCTATGTAAGAGCACACTTTTCCTAAAGGAAACCTATATCCCTCTTTATCAGTTCCCGTAACTTTAAGAGGACTGGCCACCCAGTGATAATCCTTTGGGTGAGATCTCTTCCCCTCAGTTGTTGGAAATCGTGTCCAGGGGTTCCCTCTGGCTTGGTATGTCGCCTTGGTTGTGGGCAGTTTCTTCCCTCCCCCCCCCCCCCCCCCCCCCCGCTGGAAATCGCTATGGTGATAAACTGTGGCCTATTTTGAGTGTCACTGGCCAAAGCTTGTCACTGCTCTCAAATCAGTTAGATGACCCAAACTGTAATCAACCGGGAAGGGACAGGATTATCGACGCAACCACCCACCGTGGAGGGGCCCCCCCATGCTGCCATCTCTTTGAGGGGAGCACACTTCAAATGCAAAACCAGCAAAATCTTGTCTCCTCGGAACTGTTGTTTCAATGGATATTCCAAATACCCAAAGCAGACTTTGTTAAAACAATCAGTGGAATATGCAACCATCCACATTTTAAAAGCTCAGAACTGTCCAGGCAAGTGGAGAAGATAACTTTCTGAAGAGGATAGAATGCGGATTAAGTAACTTAAAGAATATAATATATGTGGTGTTATAAATATTGGGCGATTGGTTATGTACCATTTATTGCAAACTGTTAAAGGTACTTCTCTGAACGCTCTAGGGGTAACATATTGGGTTATTTATTGTAGTCTTGTATAGAAGAGTTATATTTGCCTTGGGAAACATTCTAAATGGTTGAAATTATATTTAAAATTTAAAGAATCTCATCGAAGTTCAATTTTGGTTAATTATATTAACTACTAGAGTCACCTTTGTTGTAACATTTGCTTTAATAGCACAGTTTGAGGTCTAAGGAAGGTGTCATATCAATAGTCCATTGTTTTGTCAAAAACTGGACATTAGCAGTTTTCTATGTGCATATGTGTGAAGCTGAGACTTGTTTTTGTATTGTACTAATTTTTCTCAAGTGTATTCAGTCAGTGAAACCAATGACTAGTGTAGCACCAATACTCTCCTTCAAGGAAGTATTTTAATTCAGTGAATAAAAGATCTTAAAATGTGTTTTGCATGGTACAATGGATCTACTACAAAGTACTTGTGTAATAGGTGATAGGTGATTTAAGAGCAAATACCGGAAAAGCATAAAAGACAAAAAAGTTCCGCAGCTTGTTATGCAAAATATGCATTGCTAATACAGTAGAAGCCATATATTGCCATTGTACTGTTGTAATACTTGAGAATGCTCATTTGGTGCTATCTGTAAACTCCTTGGCATTAGCATCTGCTAGTCCCTTATTCCCCTCTCTCCTTGAATGTATAATGTGTGCCTTTTAAGTTACTTCTGGTGTTGAATGGTAAAATCAGTGTGGTATTTTTGTATTATGATCTGCACTTTACACTTTCTTGGAAAGTGCAATTCCAGATTCTCCAGTTTGAATAGTATTTTGAAAATATTTATAATGTTTACAGCAAATATTTTAAATATTTTAATTCAACATCGAGAATAAGAAAACTTTTAAACTATTTTGTATGGGTTGTTAATTGCTATTTAGTATTGCTCTTTATCAGTTTATTTATATCCCTTCAAATGGCTAAAAACTGAGACTAGATTGCAGTTTGTCTAACTGTCAGAGTTAACTTCTAAGGGATCTTGGGTTTAATTGTATTGTCTTACTAGTTGTTCTAGCATATCAACCCTTATTTTTATTGCTTTCGTAAAAAACATGAGTTAGATGTTAGTCTTAGCCAAGATACTAAAATTCTTTTCTAATTTTTCTTTTTAAAGTAGGTTAATTATGTCATGAGAAAATTTCCAGGGCTAAATGAGAACTCTGTAGAGATTTAAATGACTTGATTTTTATGTATATCCATTATTTAAAATGGCAAAATATTTAAAATATTAAATAACTTTTATTGAAAATCCTGGAATATACTGTTATACCTTTTTATTAGACCTCTATTCCCCCAACATTTTTCTGATTCTCTAACTTTTAATATGATATCTGTTGCTTCAAATTTTTTTGCTTTTTTTACAGCTGTGAAAACAGTGCACTATTCACAACAGTAGTAATGAGTTTGTAGTTAGATGGATGCAAGGTATCTTATGGGAAATAATGATAGAAATATGTTGCAATAACAGTTGTCCAAGACACTATTTGACGCTCTAAATCTTGAGGGCAGAACTGTTCCAAGCTTCTGTAGAAAATCATTGTTTAACTGGAAGCGTGTTTGTGGATGATTCATATTGAAATTAAGATTTTATTTTATACAGATCCTTTTAGGAATTAATCTCTATGTGTGTCTCTAAGAGTGTCTTGTGGCAAGAAAAATATCAATATGCTATAGTATCAATAATCTATTTCTTTACAAGCCTAGTCATGTATATGCTTATGTGTGAATAGATACCTTTTTTTAATTCCATTTTTGTCACAGCATTCTTGTTCATATGACCTATAGTAAACAAATAAAACTTCTGATGTGACTATGATCTTATGGTCATTTTTCCGGGTTTTATCATCTTACAAACTTAGTAAGCTGTGTTAGTTTCAGTTAAGCATTGACGTTAGAAAAATTACTTTTTCACATGCTATTTAAATTAGAACACCTTTTTAATTAAAAGACAGTATAAAACAAAGAGGTTAATTACCTGATTACCAGTTTTGCTTGATAATAACTTGCATCCATCAGAAACAGTTATGTTTTTCTTTCCTTTTAGCTCTTATCAAGGAGAATACTTTTTTTTTTTAAAGAATGCCTTGTTTACTCTCCCTCACTTAGAATGACTTTTTTTTCTTGTGCTAATAAATGTATTTCTTTACATTGCTCTAAAACACTTGCATCTTTGCTCCTTTCTAACTCTGAACTTTCCTCTGTGGCTGCATCTGAGGTGCTTTTCTCAGGTATAGTTTTTATTTTTTCTTTCATTATATCCGTTTCCAGCATTTATTGTCTAGTTGGTCTTTGTCACCCTAAAATGCTCATCTGAGCAAAATTTTAATAAAATGAATTAATAAACTATTACTAGTCATAAAAATAAATGTTTATTTCTATACTAATTATATACATTTAAAAGTGCTCTTGTCTTATTTTTATGCAGGTGATGAAACTTACCAGGACATCTTTCGTGATTTTTCTCAGATGGCATCCAATAATCCAGAAAAATTAAATCGTTTTCAACAAGATTCACAGAAATTCTGAATTTTAGGGGGAGGAGGGGAAAATATTAAACCCTGTTATCTCCTGTTTCAGTGTGTATACATCTGAAAACTCACAAATTTTTATTGTCTTAATTCTACCTGCTTTATTTTAGTAATAATGACTTGGAAAAAAGGTACCCATTCGTTGATATTTTTATAAAATTCAAACAGCTAGTTGTTGAAAGAGTAACATACTATAGAACCTCTTTTATTTATTTTTTTAAAACCTGCTTACAGGGCTTTTTATCTAGGTTTAGGCCCTCTCTAGGTTACAAGATGTTAAGAATTAGATCATCTATCATTATATATATATATTTTTTGCCTGTGGATGGTTAAATTTTTTTCCCCTTGTAGTTCATTCAAGCATGTCTGTATCAAGTGACAACCAATTTTCCTGCCTGCCTTGAGAATTTCTTTCTTTCTTTTTTCTTTTCTTTTTTTTTCTTTTGTTTTGTTTCGTTTTGTTATTTTGGGCCACACCTGGTGATGCTCAGGGGTTACTCCTGGCTCTCCACTCAGGAACTACTCCTGGCGGTGCTTGGGGGACCATATGGGGTACTGGAGACCAAAGCCGGGATGGCTTTGTGCAAATGCCCTACCTGCTGTACTTTCTCTCCAGCCCCTTGAGAATTTCTTTCCTTAACTTCCCTGACAGCTTTTGGTGGCACAGAAAGTCTTTTGTTTCGCCTTTATTTTACAGTATTCCAACTGTTATATATACAGTATGAAACTTAATTACTAAAACCAGAGTGGTTTCCCCTGTTTGTTCATAAATGCGGTTATACGCCTTAGGTGTCTGGTTATTGTCCAGAACTTTAGCAAACATATAATGGCTGCACAAGTAGGCACAATTCAGCCATTTAGATTTACTTCCTTATATGAAGCTAGAAGAAGCCTTCAACATTTTTCTTTTTAAGTCATTAAAAAAGCAAAAAAAAAAAATCCCAGTTATAGAAATTGTAGCTCTTCATTATTGGGCTGATTTCCTAAAACTTTCAGTTTTTTTTTTAGATGTAAATAAAATTGTGTTTGAAAGGTTCCTTGAATGTTGAAAAATGATGCTTTCATCAAAATCTAATTTTCAAAGGAGATGTTGATTTAGAAAAATTATGTAGAGCACTTTTATATCTGAAATTGGTCCGTTTCAATATACATTTTTGCTAGTGCTACTATCGAAAGGGAAATATCTGCAAAGGAAGAGAAAAACACTCGTGTTTTTCTTAGTTCATACTACATTATACTGCAGTAAGTTGCCTTTTAAGTTTTCAAAGCACCCAACCTGTGTAGTGGTACACACAGTGTACATTCTTTTCAGCCACAACAACTATATAGTTTTAGTATAGATTATTTGAATCACAGATCCTTGAATTAAAAATATGATAGATATACTCATTTACTTCTGTCAAAAATTAGTCTGATACCATCTCTGACATATGTTGTCCGTATTAAATACATAATTTGACTTATAGTTTCTAATATTTCAACAATTAAGTTTACTCTCCTTTTATAAATTATAGGTAAATAACAGTATTGGTTCATCACCACCACCCCCAGCTCCCCTTAAACATTTTTTTGGGCCGTCAGCTGTCAGCTGTCAGCTGTCAGCTCGGGTCACTCCTGGCATGCTTGGGGGACCATGTGGTGCCCAGTATGAACCCAGGCCTCCCTCATGCAAAGCGTGTGCTCCATCCTGTTGCACTTCCTCTCTAACCTCCGCCCATTTTCTACACAGGAGAGATTTTTTAAACTTGAGTTATCAAATCAGTTGAGAAGTCATATTTTTTTCTTTTACTAGCGTTTTATAAATTGAAAACCCAATCCGTCTCAATAGGAATGATACTGAAATAAACCTGTGGCGCAAGTAGGTCCTGTTTGGCCAAACTACCGTGGTATAATGCTTATTTAATAATCATCATGTATTGGTGAAAATATATTTGTGAATTCTTTCTGAATGAAATGTTAAATCTCGATGCCTTTTTTTTTTTAGTTACGATAGCCGAACATGGCATCCTTTCTGTTTCACCTGTCACAGATCATCTAGCTTTGCAACAAGTTTGTTTTGTCACACTTTTAGCAGAGTGCATGTCCTCTGAAAGTGTCTGAGATGCTTGAGGATAAGGAAGCAAACACGAGAGAGATAGAAGCGAGTGTTTTGTAGTGCCTGTGCCTGTGTCAGCCCTAGCTCGCCATGCTAAGGGCACCTAACCTTCACCCTGGAAACATACAGGCCCTTGTCCCCATGGACCCAGACTTCCATGCTCCTGCTCATCTCTGGAATCTTTGACGGCGTGAGTCAGGAGTTGTTCTAGTAATTATTGCCTTCTAAATTTCATGATTAGACCTGTAGCCAAAGTGTACAAAAAACAGTCACAGTTCTTCAGGAAATGAGAAATCTTTTAGCAGTACAGGGAAGCCAACAATTAAAAAAATTTCTTTCCTTTCTGTGGCTGTATTTCTTGTGTATGTAAGTCTTTAATTGCATAGAATTTGGCAGAGTTTTTGCAACAAACAGCTAGACTTCAGAGTCAGGGATAGTAGTCATTACAAAGCAGGGTGGCTGCTCATTCCCCAGGAGAATTTGGCTGTCATCTAGTAGCTTTGACATAGTATTTACAAATCTGAGTTTTATTATGCTGTGAATTAGTACATTATGCAAAATTATATGTCAGTATTGTTCTTTGTACCCTTGGGTTTTGTATTTCTAAGTTAATATTCTTGCCCTTTTTTTCCTTTCTCTCTCTCTGATACTCCACCTCTGATTTGCTGACATTAGTTTTTGATTCTTTATTGTTCTGTTTGCTCAGTAATTTAAAAATTAGGCAAATGTTAAGATAGCAGTACTAACTGAAGAATTCTTGAAATGCAGTTTTGTGTTAGAACTAGATAAAAGGTAATTGAGTATTTGTAGTGTTCCACTGGAACACTTAGATGTTTAAGATTTCTAAGGTTTTTTTTTTGGTACAGTCCTTAGAAATTCGGCAATTTGCAGGAATTCATTTTATTACAGTGGTATTTACAGTAGATTTTAATGAACTTTAATGTTTACTAATTTGGAATATGTAGCTTGGTTTTTCATGAGTGAATTTTGGGGGGAAAAAAAAAAGATATCGGCCATAGTCTGGAAACTAAAGTTTGAGGTATGTTATGCATTATTCCTAAAATACAATTTTATGCACATGTAAAGTATGATAATAATAACCCACATTGTATTTAAGAGTAAATCTACACTCCATTTTGAATAACAACACATTCCTTTATCACTGTCAGCTTTTCTGCTTGGTAGCACTTTTGATTATGGACATGAGCTGGAAACACGATATATTTTTATAGAATTGTGAGTCCAGAATAACTCCGGATGGCATTATGTAGTGAAGAGAGCACTGCCTAGTAGTTCATAGACTTTTCGGAGTCAGAGTTCCTCACCGGTGAGATGAGTGGGATGAGCCAGCTGAGACGGGAGAGCATTCGTCACGGGGTTCTGCCGCTCACACTGTGCTTTGTACTTGAGGGCACAGGACCCTCACAGCGGGGCAGGTTTCTGAGATCTTACTCCAAGAGCTTAGAGTCAGTGGATCTGAGTTTTCTCCTCTTGTTTTACAGAAGTGGGGAGGGGTCACTGGCTTGCTGGTCTGTGGTATAGCTAACCCTCAGAGCCCCCTGTCAGGCTGGCTGCTTAGTTAGAGGCACTTTACTTTGATCGTGAATTAATTTGCAATCATTGCAGAGCAGCAGAATCTGATAATGCCTGCCAGCTTTCCTTGTGCTTTGATAATGAAAGATTCCACCGTACAGTCCAGAGACCCTACTGTAAAATTATCTGGAGGGTATTGATTGGGATTTGAAGACATTAGATGATAGGAAATTATATGCAATAACATGAATGAGAGCAAAACATTGTTTAGGTCGTTTCAAACATGTGCTTCTCGTTTCTCAGTGCTTCCAGATGAAAGACAACTGTGAAAGGAGCTTGCTGTCAGTTTGTCTGGATACTGACGTCCATAAATGATGTTTTGTAGACATTCTGTTCTGTTTACACAAATGTATACACTTAAAGTGAGGTTCTGGGTGGGGAGAGAAGTGATGTTTAATGAAATTTATTTTCTGCATTGATCTTTATTCTAGCTTATGTTTTAGAATCTTCTTATTTTGTCCTCAAGATCCCTCTCCCCTGGTGGGTGTTGACTTTAGACAGGGAAAGCTTGCTGCATTGTGGAGATTGTTGGCACCATTTATTTTACACAAAGGCGAAAGGTGAACTTTTTAAGATGATGAGCTACTTTTTATATGTGTTTACTTGTGCTTTGTGATATTTCTGGATCATTCCAGTCGTAAAGACTTATTACATGTAATATTTCTCGCTACCTACGAACAGGTATATTTTAAAGAATGTATAACCAACACTCCATTTACTTTTTACTAGTATGTAGAGGATTTGTATCTAATTCATGGGTGTAGCTTTACTGTAGTTTGTCATTGTAAATGGAGCAAAGTACATTATCTTTATAGTTATTCTAAAATGTACATTATGTAAGAATTGTAAATATCAAACTTGATTAAATACTTTGTATGCTGAAAAATTATAAGTCAATAAACATCTCACCTCTGATGTAATCGTTTCTGCTCAGACTTACACTGTTCTGTCATCTGGAACTGCGTGCACTCCTGCCCCGGTCTCGGGAGGGTCTGTCTGCCCGAACCCAGCCCAGTTCTGTTTGCTGATTGCTTCCATCAAGAAAAAAACATTTTCAGGGGGCTGGAGTGATAGCACAACGGGTAGGGTGTTTGCCTTGCACGCGGCCAACCCGGGTTTGATTCCTAGCATCCCAAATGGTCCCCCGAGCACTGCCAGGAGTAATTCCTGAGTGCAAAGCCAGGAGTAACCCCTGTGCAGTGCCAGGTGTGACCCAAAAAGAAAAAAAAATTCATATTTCAAATTCTTCCATTCAACTTACCTTACTATGGAGGTGTTTGATTCCCAATTCATTAGCAAAAGGCCATAAAGCAATTTATTTACTCTAGTATTAACTTATTCCATTACCATTGACTTCTCAGTTAAAGTTTTTTCATTTAGACAACACATTCATCCAGTCCTTTAGTAAATGAATAAAAACATGTTTCGTATGAGCTGAAATAGGAGGAATGGACGGCTCAAACAATGGGCCTGGAAGTGAATAACCTGCTTTTGTCACTCCATTTAAAGTCCACCAAAAACACATAAAATGTTTCTGTGTTTCTGTGTAATTTTTATCATGACAATTTCAATTTCAGAATAGTTCCTCAAAGAAGAGAACCTATAAAGGATCTGCAATTTAAA